ATTGCTGCACAGGAGAGATCACAGTAGATTCAAATGTTCCAGTAGCGTTTATGGAAAGCCCGCCCTGTATGGAAAGTTCCCTTTGCGTGTCCATGGACACAATTGTACCACCCTTGTCTGCCAAATGTGTTCCTGTCGTCAGTTCCCCTGCAACCGAGACGACATTTGATGCCACCGTAGAGCCCATTCACCTCAGCTGCATGAAGAAGAATGTTCATGCAGCTGTCAGTTGTGCAAGGGCATACTGGTTTGTAGGTGATCAACGGCTCCAATGAACCTTCGGTACTGCCAGAGGGTCTACAACTTGCTAAGATCCGTCAACATGAGGTGTTCTCCCTTGCCATCCTTGCAGAGAGCAGTGATTCTCCGGGTTAGCCCAATTCCAATCATTTGCACGCCAGGGACTCCTCCATAATTTGGCAATGATTGACCAGTCTCTTAGCAGCGTAATGACCTGGCGAGTATTCTGCGCAAGCATGCTGGTCTTTTCGATTTCGCACAGCTACAGGCTCCACTGTCAATCCCTGTTTTTTCGTGTAAAGCATCGCATAGATACGGCATACCATAGACCTCTCCGACAAAAGCCATACCGGGTATCGCCTTCGGAACGCGCAGTGATAAATGAATAGGTTGGCGAGATGCTAAAAAATAATGTGATTCAGGAATCATGCAGTCCGTGGGCCGCTCCCGTAATATTGGTCAAGAAGAAAGATAAAAAAAATGGCGATTTTGCGTTGACAACCGCCGTCTCAACGCCATCACAAAGAAGGACGATGCTATAGGCTGTCTTTCATCAGCCTCCTACTTTTCGTCTGTCGATTTGAGGTCAGGGTATTGGCAAATTCCAATGCACGAGGAAGACAAAGAGAAAATGACATTTGTTACACCAGATGGACTTTTTGAATTCAATGTGATGTGCCATTCGGACTATGCAATGCGCCTGCAACTTTCGAGCGCTTCATGGACAACATTCTGCGTGCTGGTTTGAAGTGAGAAGTATGCATGTGTTATCTGGACGATGTTGTCATTTTTGGGCGCACTTTCAGTGAGCACAACACACGCCTCGACCTCGTGCTAAACTGCCTAAGCAAAGCATGCTTAGTGCTCAACTCAAAGAAATGTCGTTTCGGAGAACGCCAAACACTCGTTCTTGGACACTTGGTGAACAAAAAAGGCATATGGTCAGATCCCGCAAAAACGGCTGCAGTGGAGGCGTTCAAGCAACCTCGCTCAGCGAAAGAACTACGCAGCTTTTTGGGCCTCTGCTCATACTTCCATCGATTCATCCCTGGATTTGCGAATATCGCGCACCCACTCACGTGCCTGCTTCAGAAAGGCGCGCCATTTGACTGGACTTCGGAATGTGCGTCCGCCTTTTCTGAGTTGAAGTTCCTTTTGACATCCCACCCGATTCTTCGACACTTCGATCCTCTGGCTCCCACAGAACTTCACACGGACGCTAGTGGTGTCGGTGTTGGGGCCGTGCTGGTTCAACGCTTGGATACCAAAGAACATGAGGTTGCGTATGCAAGTCGCTCGCTAAGCAAATCCGAGCGTAACTACACCGTCACAGAGCAAGAATGCCTCGCAGTAGTCTTCGCAGTGCAGCGCTTCCGGTCCTACCTGTACGGACGCCCCTTTACCATCATGACAGATCATCATTCGCTCTGCTGGTTGGTCAATCTGCGTGACCTATCTGGTCGACTGGCGCGTTGGGCACTCCTTCTGCAGGAATACGACTTTACGGTTTTCTATAAAAGTGGTCGTTGTCACGCTGATACAGATTGTCTTTCGCGACTACCACTCCCATCGACGGACTGCGACGCGGGCAACTTGGACACCTACATCGCGCCATTGGACCTGCCATTTCCTGATACCAATGCCTTTAAGATTGAGCAGCAAAGGGGCCGCACCATACAGGAGCTCCTTCCTACCGAGTTAAGACTATTGGCGACTCGCTTCTGCATGCGCGACGGGCTTGTGTACAAAAAGAACTATGCTACGACCGGCTTACGATATCTTCTAGTGGTTCCGAAAAGCCTTCGCGTTTCCGTCTTGCAGGCCATGCATGATGACCCAACGTCCGGCCATCTAGGCACAGCGAAAACTCTTTGCCGGCTTCAAGAAATATTTTACTGGCCGAGAATGCGCCAGACGACGGAACAGTACATCTCTAGTTGCAACGAGTGCCAACGCCGCAAGCGCCCTACCAGTGCACCTCCAGGGAGACTACATCCTATCCCACCCCCTAGAACTCCATCCGAGCACGTTGGGATTGACCTTCTAGGTCCCTTTCCGAGGTCTTCTAGTGGTAATCGCTGGATAGTCGTATGTACCGACCACTTAACACGGTACTGCGAGACACCATCAGCAACTGCAGCTGACGTGTTTATTCATGCTGCGTTTTGTGGTTCTACGACATGGACCTCCTAAAATTGTTATCAGTGATCGTGGGCGACAATTCACTGCAGACGTGGTGGAAGAGATGCTTCGTCTATGCGCTTCAAGCTTTCGGCACTCTACGCCATATCATCCCCAAACAAATAGCCTGACAGAACGAACAGGACTCTCACGAACATGCTTTCTATGTATGTCGCAGCAGATCACAAGAACTGGGATCGCGTACTACCTTTCATCACTTACGCATTTAACACCGCACAGCACGAGACTACCAGCTACAGTCCGTTCTTTCTTCTGTATGCTCGGCCACCTCGTCATACCCTAGATACCGTCTTCCCGTTTTTGGACCACCATGATTCAGGTATATCCGAGATCGTCTGCCGAGCAGAAGAAGCCCGACGTCTTGCTTACCTGCGCACCCTCGCTTCGCAAGATCACTCGAAGACACGTTTTGACCGTCGACGTCGACACGTGACGTATAATCGTGGAGACCTCGTGTTGCTGTGGACGCCAAATAGGAAACGGGGGTTGTGTGAAAAACTGCTTGCACACTATGCGGGCCCTTGTGTTGTTCTAGAACGTATAAGCGATTTAACTTACCGCGTAGCACGTCTTCATTCAAATGGCTGACGGTCTGCAAAGACTGAACTTGTCCATATAGCACGTTTGAAGCGCTATATTCCCAGATAGACTCTTTAACTCGCCCGGTGGGCTTCGTCTGCGCGGAGGGAAATGCTACTGCATATGTTATTTGGGTATGAGCCTCTGGGTAGCGGGGAACAGGCAGATTAGAGAAGAGGACGTTCGGCTAGCGAGTCTGGGTGACAAACAACTATTGCACTCCTTTCATTCTGCCTAGGGTGTCTTTTTTTTTCTTTTTTCTGGTGGGTGGTTTCGATATTAAAAAATCTTACTGAATTAAGTCATCGATTCTTGGCCGATCCCCCTGAATGGGTACGAGCCACGGCTGTGGAATCATCATCGAGTGCGGGTATGAGCCATAGATTAGAGGCTACAAACAAACAAACAACAACATAGGCCTCCGGTTCACGACCCTTTCAAGCCTCCCAGTACGCCACAGCGTAATGAACCCATTTATAAACGTAACAATATCTTGGCGCTTATTTATATAGTTACCAATCGGTGAAAATTGCCTTTTGAGAAGCCGCGGAGATGGTTAACATACTAAGTTTAATGGAATTTTATCGAGCCAACGCGGCCACAACACAAAAACACTTTGAAATCCGTAGCGTCACCATTGGAGACTTTCGGCGTGAAATGGAAAAATGAAACCTTTGGTATTGATTGCAACATTAAAGTTTTCGAGGTAAAGGTATCAGTCTAAACTAATATATTGTTTCGCTTTAGCAACAGAAATGCAAGGGTTTAAGTGCACATACAATAATTAGATTCTCGTCATCAGAACAAACTTCAATAAAAATATAATGTGCCAGGGGCATAGCCAAGGGGTGGCACTCCAAGCCCCCGCCACCTTCCCAAATTTTTTTTCGCCATGAATACATCGCGCAAAATGACCATCTGCCTGCCTGGCCCCTACTATAGATAAATAAGGTACCCCCCCCCCCCCCCCCCCCGCCCGAAAAACATTCTGCACACAGCCCTGTGGGCGACCGAGTTTCTGTGAGTGTGTGCTCAAAACTTCCAAAATAAATAAGTTCTGTTATGATTAAAACTACGTTAACTTTGGCCAATTACATTAATCAAGAGCATGCTCTGCCACATAACCAAATTGCATTAAAACTGTTTGTCACGCTAAATGATACAATCTATGTCCAAGCCTTATGGATAACGGTAAATATAGTAACAAAAATATACTATATAATCAATATATCTCAGGAATCACACAGTCAAAAACTGATATAGTAGTATCAGTCAGTCATCAACAAACTTTATTTGGGTCCTAAGGAAGGAGTCGTAGTTGCGGGCCGCGCCCACGTTGGGGTCGGAATGCATTTTTATTTCGTTTCTTTTTTCTATAAGCGTTCGTACAAATAATATTCACGCTTAAACTTTTTAAATTTTTACCTCGGACAAGCAAGTGTGGAAATTAAAATTGTGCTTTTTGAAAAGAGGCTAAAACCAAACTGCCGAAAGCGACACCAGTGCTGGTTTGCTAGTTTTGTGATACATCGCACGATAGCATCATCTAGCGAACATGGAGATGATTATTGGGTCCTGATCTTACCAGATGCGGCAATAGATGACGCCACCAGCCTTTTTAACCAACGGCACTATTGTTTAACGCTGCTTCATTTTGTCGTACCATCGGTGTTTAGGACTTCGTCGCAACGTAACGATGAAAGTTTGCTCACGATGAATGTTCAAAGTTGCGCGCTACTATTGCTGTGAAAAAGACGCATTTGTCTGATCATTGTACAACTGACGCGCTTTCTTTGGCGCTAAACATAGCCAAAACGGGGGCGCATCATTTTGGCGCGTTGAGCAGACGACTTGGAAAAGCGTGAGGACAGAAAAAAAAAAAAGAGAAAAAACGCCGTGCTGCGGCGTTGCGATCGCTCAGGCGCGCGTTGTATGCCGGTCGTGACGTTATTGCGCGCACGCGCAGTGCACACAGAACACCTCCGCTTAGTTGACGTCACGACGCTAGTCCTGGCAGGCAGGGGGACAAAGAAAGATGTCCGGTAAGAGAGACGCTGCGCTGGCGGGATCGGGCTTTCCCGTGAAAGCGGCCGATTCTCGTTCCACGCCGGCTTCGGAAAGCGCTCCATTTCACCGAACGAATCTTCCGCTATTTCGCAGGTGTCATCGCCAAGTACCACTGCAACTACTGTCAGGAAGACATCACGGGAGTGCGCGTCAAATGTGCAGAGTGCCCAGACTTTGACCTTTGTTTACAGGTTGGTAGCGTTTCTCACGGCGGCCTTCGGCCCGCCTGTGGCGAGGCTATCGCGTAGCGGGTGTTTTGCGACGGCCGCGACCGCGATTCGGCCCGTCGGACTCGGCATTCGTGCATTTTTCCGCAAGGCGGAATCGGGCACACGCGCGTTCCCTAGGCGGCGAACGGTAAAAAAAAATTAGCAACAAAAAGCGCATGGCTTCCGCGCCCGCTGGGATGCGAAACTTGGGGCAGAACGCGCCGGCTGGATTCGCCGCGAGTTTTGCCTGTGTGCGCGCGTTCTAACCGTCTACTTCTGTGGTGCTGACAATATTTTTTGTTTGATTTCCCCCCCGCTGTCTGAGACAGACCAGCGTGGCGGTGTGGCTGTTTGAAGCCGAGCGCGCTTTCTCGTATTTACGAGGAAAGGGAAATGCTGAGATAAGCGGCGGGCAAGCCGTCACAGCCTAGCTCACGCGTGATCCCCCCCTTCCCTTCATGTCGCCTGCTCATCGGTCGTGTATGCAGCTGCTGTTTTTCTCGCTTCTTTCATTTTATTCCGCCGCCGCACTCTCGCCATTCGGTTTCGGCCGGTGTAGCAACAGCAGGCGTCGCTTTTGTGCGGGCGCCAGTTCTTGTGCGTTTGAATCAAACCGCCCGAATAACGCCGTTCACGTTCGTCCTACGCTCCACAGATGTTTCCCGATCGCCAGCCGGCGAGTTTGTTATGTACCCGTTGCTTCCGCTATGCGATTAAAAAGCTGTTTTCTGCGAAACGTCCGACTAAAATATGAACGTTGCGAAATAATTTGAGGCAGGCTTCGTGCACACGTCCCACGGTGATCGTTTCTCGTGAAAAGGTTTTCTTTTTTAATAAAACCCGAAAACGCCGCCAGTTCTCTGAGGTTGGACTTCCATAACATTGCGATCATATGCTGGGCGTTATTGTGTGTAATGTTTCAGGATAGAACCGTCTACTTACCCTCGCGTGATTGGTCCGAATCAACCCTTCTGCTGACGTAATCGTTATTCTGGCCATTCATGCGAGAGCAAGCGAACGAATTCGTTTTCCAAACCACTGCAAGGCAGCTCTAGAGTTATCTATTTCCAACACCCACGGCCTATATGTGGCGCGCCGTGCGATCCAAGATGGCTACAGAAGGATGATCAACCCGTGAACTCGTATAAGAAAGAGAGGGCACCCGGACGTACTCCTCGCACCGCTTTCACCGGATCTACTCTTCATGTCAAATGACTGTATATCGAACCAAAGTACTTTCCCAACCAATAGGAACTGCTGAATGTTCGCTACCTCATTTCTCGCCACAGTGTGAAGGGCGGTGGTGTCAGCTAATCGTCCGTGTATCAATGATGCTTTGTGTAATCCTGTGCATGCTACTGAAAACTGCGCGAACCAGAATTCACGTATGAACTGAACGGCATTCCGACATTATTTGTGCCGAGCCTGTCTGGCAGATTTGCCGCAGTAGTATGCCACTAGTCAATAGCACACCGTCGCGGCTGCACAGGAATAAATGTTTAACGTACCGATGCTTTTCAAACATATTACGCCATCGTTACTTGCGCTGTAAGCATAATGTAGCTCCTTCTTCAACAGAACACAAGCATTTAACTTCCTATTAAGTAGCACTTGTGTCACAGCCACGATCAGACTCAAACAGTGCGCAATCCCCTGCACTTGGATGTTGCAGGTTTCATCAGCGTGATCGAAACGAACACACACGTACGCTTTTCGCAACGCCAAAATTGCAGAAATTTGTCCAAACATGATGGCGATAGAAGCTGTAGATCTTGATACCACCATGCTTGGTGTATGTCGTGCCTCTAATATTGATAGCTTGCACATCACAGCATTGACACAAGACATAGATGACTTCAAGGCAGGATAGTAGGTTAAACAGAGAGGGAGGGCACGAGATGGTGTCGGTGTGAACGGCAGCGCGACCGTCTTGGAGGGGTCTCCGCATAGGCGCTCAACTGCATTCTATCCGTAGACACTGAACAGCAATGCGCCGCTTCGACAGAACCAATAAAACGCTACACCAAAAAACATATGCGCCACCATGGATCACAGCGATGGCAGCGGACGCTGCTAGGCCTCCCGAGCAAGCATGTGATGTACTTATAATTGTAGCCTGACATGCAAAGTTCGCCCTCACTATGTTGGTGCTCCAACACGGCTTTCAGTGATATCGGTGCAAGCCATCTATGGGTTGTATGCACTGAACCTGGATATGCAAGGTGGCAACAGCATAACTTGTCCCATTTTGAAGATCTGTTGATATGTCTGTCTGTGCGTTGGCATGCAGGAGTATTAAGAAAAAAAAAAAGAAGACAGCCACCTGTTTGTAGCACGAAGCCACAAGGAAATTCATATGGATTTCTCAAAAAGAAAAGCTTTTTGGTCGATGTCTGCACAGATGGAAAGAGTGTCTGTCGCTCAGCGACTGAAACCAACCCCGTTTTCCTGTGAATAGTAGATTTAAATATTTATTGAAAATTGTGAAATAGCTTGCGGCAGGCACCACTGGTGGCTGAAACTTCAACTATCCTATGTGCCCTGTCATGTGACCGTAAACTGGTGTGTGTGTGGTTAACAATTTTCATGTTAGTATTCAGATATTGTTTGTTTGTGTGTAGTTTATGATACTACTCAATAAAAATGTACATATGAAGCCTGCTTTAGTTGTATGCATTAAAATGGCATGACGTAATCATCCCATGCCTGTCAGCGCATCTCAAGCAACTTTTGTGCGTGCTCATGAAATCGTACGTCTAGTTTCTGGGTCGCTAAGATTTTGGGGCGACGTGGTTTGGCTATCTACAATTTGTCTCAGAAATGACGTGTACTACTAGTTAGCACGGGCGCGCATATACACAGTCACATTTTCGGTGACTTGTCTTGGGTCTTTGTCGAGAGAGTAACGACATGACAAGGCCATCCACAACACAGGCGCAACAACCTTGAGCACAGGTGCACGCAACGCAGTACAAATACAGAGAAACTGTATAAAGCCACATTGTCACAATGTAATGGCTTGTTACTTAAAAAAAAAAAGTTGTAAAGCTCAGAATAAACGTGATTGAGCATGCTTATAGAAACTCCTGCGAAAGCCAAACAATAACAGCATGCACAAGTCACCAGAAAAGCTACCGGCATCGTTATCAATGCACAGCATTGCTAAATGAAAGGGCTCATCTTTGTTCAGACTAAAAAATGCTGCTTATATAATTACTATGTGCTTTTGGGATTAACTATGGCAGCTACAAACCCTACGAAGGGTAAGCTTTCTGTCATGCCAGAAAAAAAATTGGGTAAAAAAAATCGGTTTTCAGTCTCTAAGCTGTGGCTAATGACGTAAAAATGTGGCTTAGCCCTTTCTAATAGTTTGAAAGCATTCATTAATCCACTCATGCAATTCATATTGTGTTATGCCCGATTTTGTACTTTTGCCATTTCATATTACAAATGTTAATGCGGTTCGTTGCCCATCATAAGCCCTTTATAGGGTCGATTTTCGAAGGTGTGTCAAGAGTCTGCATGGCTTTGTAGTAGAATACTTGACTGCCTTTCAGCAGGCCTGGGTTAAAATCGGATCCAATCTTACAAAATCTACTTTCTCGTGCGGAAATGGTTACAGATGGCAGTGGCAGACAACTATGGCACAAGAATCGGATGTAGTTGTGATCTCGTAACTGCTTTTGTTGCAATAAAAAATCTTTCATATTATCGAAAGTGCATTGTGGAGAGCAGTGGCATTTCAGATTGAAGATTGATCTACTGGTTAGGCAGATCTGGAAGTACTGATACCATGCCATCACCACCTCCAAAAGCACATCAGTGGAAAAGGTGGAGGGTGGCCTTGGGACTCTGGAAAAGGTGTTGGGGCTTCTTTTCTAGGCAAGAAGTTTTCCGAATTCTTGCCCCGGAGGGGTGTGTAGTCAGTGCCAATTTGTGCCATGTGCAGTACTCGTGAGTTCATAAGCTTTTAGTAAACAACTAGTATGCCTCATTGCTCTTGGTAACTCTCCTTCCACTACAAATCTGACCGCTCCAGGCAATGTTGGCTCTGACAATCTCACTCAAGCTGAAGACTATAGAAATGCATTGCTTAGCCCTAAATGTAGTGTTTCATTCTGTGAGTGCTGTAGAGGGTTCACACGTGACTTGGAATGATAAAGCCTGTTATGATGTTTTCACTTCCTAATGAGCTCATGAATAAATTTCCACGATTGGTGATTTGTCCGAGGGGCCATACTAATCTCTCGTGCATACGCAGTCTCACTCATCTTTGTTTCTTCTTTTTCCCTGCAACAGTGCTTTTCCTGCGGGGCGGAGATGGGAGCACACAAGAACAGGCACGGCTACCAGTTAATAGTGAGTTCCAGACGATTGAAAAAATCTTTCAACCTTGTTTCATAGAAGCTTGTGCCTCCCATGCACAGTGACTTACCCTATGCAAAACCGACAGTGAACAGCACACCTTGGTAGAGTGTGTGCTGTTCTCTATAATTGAAATTTCACTGCCTATCGAGGCTTTGACAGTCGCCTTAACCTGGAAATGAGCTACGAGTTGTGATCTAGGTGCAGACGATATCTGCGAATGTATTGCTAAAGAATAAATATTGTATTTACTCGCATAATTTGTGCACCACCTAATATATTGTCAGCTTTAGGGAAAAAAATATTTACTTGCATATTTGTGCTCCTCGACCCGCCCGAGCTAGCTCACCGGATGCACGGACGCAAACTTAGCACTTTGGATTCTTTGCACGGGCGCGCGCCACGCTGATCAGGCGAGTGCAGTCAAACGGGCTGCGAGTGCAAAGTCCCTTCTTCCGAGCACTTCCCCCGAACTTGCGTTACTAGAATACCGTGCCCCTAACACCCCAATCTATTGGCGGTTCTACGCTGATGGGTCGCCGAAACCGCTCGAGTGTTTTCCCAATTCTTTTCCATGGTTTTCGTCCCTCTATCTCTTCATCTCTACCACCGTGGGCATACCTGCTCGCGTCACAGCACCGATAACTTTCGGCACCGCAGGCTTGTGAGGGCCTGTCGAGCCAATTGTTCCTCTCGTGTCTGCGTCCGCACTGCAACCACGCTTGGTTGATTTTGGAAGTTTAGGTTTCGCCATTTGTCCACCGCGTTTTTACTGTTCTCTTGCGAGGGGCTTCGGTAATTATACATTAGACAAAATTCAAGTTCGCTATTATAAACTTTGCTGATGAAAACGGGAATCATGCCACCGCCGAGCACTTCAGCGTGAAGTGCTTCAACCTGTGACGATCGGCGCGATAGGTACGGGAGAAAGCAAAAGCGCCCGCGCTTGCTAATACAAGTTTCCTGTCTGTTATAGGCATTTTCAGTTATGTGTGAACGCTTAGGCCTTCCGGTATCGTTGTGTCTTGGGACCTAGTTGCTCCCAGCATTGTCGAGAAAAGCTTCAAGAAAATGAGACATTCAAACCCACTGAACGGAACCGAGAGCAATTCGCTCTGGGAGGGCAGTGACAGCGGCTGCGACGATGATTCTCAATCGGGCCTCTCGATCAGTGATTCCGACTAGACCGCGCTTGACCAGATCTGACTGGTTTAAGTGCGCGCTAATTCTTTTAAATAAACAAGTGTGCTTTGTTTGTGCTCCAAGTTGTTAACTTTTTAAAATTATATACTGCGCACATTAGGACTATTGCACATTATTTTGTATGCATTCGCAAAATCCTCGCGTAATTTGCCCACCTCCTTCTCAGAGCCCCAAAATCGCAAAAGAAAAAAGTGCATCAATTATGCGAGTACTTGTCACGATGAGTCACAAGTACTGGGAGATATATTGAACAACCGGGTAACTAGCTCTAGGACGATGCGTCAGTCGTGGCTGGCTCTCGAGCCGAGAAGAGACACGCAATTCTTCTTCCTTTCCTCCAGATGGTAGAGCCGCTCTTGCAGTCGACCCACTACGTGTGGGTGGCATTATCCCCCTTTCGAAAAGAAAAAAAGTCCCAAAAGGGGGAAAGAAAAGTACATAGCACCACCACGATGTTACGACATAGGCACGTGGAAAAAAAAAGAAATTGGAAATTCGGATAAAGTAAAAATAGAAATGAACGACTGCCTGCGCTTTTTTTTTTTTTTCTGGTAGTGCTGTTTCACCTGTTGATTAAGCGTTGTTTTGTATGTGAACCCTTCTTCCTCTGTCGTAGTCTCTCTCTTTCCCTGTATTCATGCCCTTTGAAGCAACGAAGGGAAAAGCAGCTCTGAAAGTTTGGCAAACGCTCAGAAAGGCTGACAACGAACTATAGAAATTTGTGTTTGTCAAAATTTCAGCACTTTTTCCCCTTTGCACTATGTACCAACTCACAGAAGCCTTGATCTTGGCAACCTTTTTTTTAAGCCCTGTTTCAAAGTGCGCACTGTCGTTTCAGGACTGTGGCAACTTCCCCATCTTCCAAGCTCCCTGCAACTGGAAAGCCAAGGAGGAACTGGTGCTTCTGGAGGCCATCGAGCAGTACGGCTTCGGCAACTGGTACATTCCTTCATCTCTTTTTCATTATTTGTCAGGTCTTATCGTGTGAACGGGTTGGCCAGGTGGCAGGGCCTCTGGTTTTTCTTGTATAAAGGAGCAGCATAGTGTTAGTGTGTTGGGGTTGCGCAGTGGCTGTTGTCTAAATGATAAACCAGGGGTGAAACCTTGAACACTTCCTGTGGATGAACGGAGCATAGCATCACGGGAGATTTGGAGGTTGCCAAAAAGGACAGGCACACTAGAAGAATGCATTATGTTTTGACAGTCTGAACTCGGAAATGCACTGCAATCCCATTATGACGAAGTCAGTTTTGACACTAACTTATGTCTGAGAGTTCATTATGGACATAAATTTGTAGCACCCTGTCTATGACAAGACTGTTCATTTATTTTGTTATATCTATGTGTGTTATCTCTCGATTTTAGTATATTATAACTTGAAAGTAATTGAGGGCATTGTTTGTTAAAGCATCGAATTGAAAAATGTGATATTAACAATTTATTTTTGTTGATGAATTGAGTGGGGTGGTGTCGCAGTTTCACGACACGTTTGGTGGTGGGGCTAATGGACATTTCTTGCAAACTGTTGGCACGCAGTCGCATTAAGCCAAGCACAAAGCAGGCCACTTTGCTTCTCTGGCCCAAACACCTACGTTTTCATCCAATCCAAGTCATCTGAAGGCTGCTCTATACATCTGTTCTATCGCTGTGTGCTTGTTCTGTGCTCGTTCTTTGCCCGCTATACGACTAAGTGACTGTCGGCAATGCCTTTTCTGTTTGCTGTACTTATGTCTGACCACCAAACGAGCTTCAACCAATCTCTCACAGTGCTATAGAACGTTAAATCGCAGATGTAGGTCAGTGAACTCACTCATGACTCGACTTACTCATACTCAAATCGAGCCGGGAGTCTGGGTGAGTATATTTTGGTGAGTTTGATCGCGTCCAAGTTAGTCCAGTGGAATAAAATTTTTGTGAGTGCGAGCACGAATGAGCCCGACTCAGGAAAAGTTTTGTGAGTCCGAGTTAGGCCTGAGCACAAAATATATTTCTTAAGTGAGTGCAAGTTCCACCATTTTTGCCAACCTATGATCGCAGAACATGTATAAGATCGCTCCCCAGGCATCAATTACAAGGATGAGTGAGTGGCAGCAAGTGCGAAGGTGCCTGCCTCTGGTAGCGTAGTGCTTCTTGGGAAGTTCTTTTGGAAAGTTTGTCTATGTCAATACTTTTCTTTGCTTGCAGGGAGGACGTCTCCCAATGCCTGCCAGCTCGAAGCTGTGAAGGTATGATGTCGAGTTTTCAAAACTCTTTCAGATGAGTTAATTATGCGCAGCTATGTTGCATTCATTGCGGCATGTGTTGAGCCTTTGCTGTTCCTTCCTGGCTTTGCGAAGTATCCCGAGAGCAAACCCCTCCCTTGGATTATGTTGTCACTCCGCATCAAGAATTAGAAAGGCAAATTGGGATCACGTTGCAGCCACTTAGAAGGGACGTTACTGTGGCAATTAGTAGAGGTGGTTGAGGATGTAGCAAAAGAAGTTGAAATTTCATGCGAGTTCAGGGGTCAACGTTCAGATTATGCAAGTTTTCACGCATTGAATAAGCAAAAAAAAGCTGTAATTTTCAGCTGCATCAGATGTTAGTCCTAGTGCGTATCTTGCAGTGAAATTTACCGCTTGTTTTCAGTTTGGTAATAAACTGTGTCTAAATCAGAGTAGCGACGTTTTGCTTACTTTTGCTATGTGCCTACCGATACAGCAATGGCCTACCGAATCTCGGGAAGTGTCGGACACTCAAGATTTCTCCTAATTACAGTTGTTTGCATGCAAAATGTCTCTTCGAAGGCCGACAGTGTGTTTATGATCTGAGAGTACTCGTGTGCAACCGAATATTCAGTGTCCTGGCTTTGGCTGGTTACGTCGTCGTACGTTTAGTAGTACCCAATAAAATCCCTTCTGTAAGGCTACTCACCGTTGTCTGTGCTTTTTCTTCTGTTGTTTTGATATTTTGGGGCTGCTTTTTTCATCCACCAGTTGAGTTCCTTTGGGCAGGTTGGAATGCAGAGTTTCAAAGGTGTTATGGCTGTGTTGCAAGAGTGGGGAAAGGGACGATAAAACCAGTGACGTGTGTAAATAGAAAACCAGTGATTCATGTGTAAATAGAATCGATACTGAAGGCACTAGCATTTCAATGTTGCTTTCGTGTGCCTGTGAAGCAAAAAGTATTGCCCGCGTTGCATACAGTTCATGTTCATTAGCCTTCCTTGATATGCAGCATCGCAAATGAAAAGTGACGATGACGTGGAAGTTGTGTGGGTATGAAAAAGTAATAATTGAACAACTGACCCAGTGCTGGTATTCACGTGAAGTGCAACAATCCAGAAGTATTATTTTTAAAGAGGTCGCGAACCACTTTTCTGGCTTGATGAAATAACACATGCCGCGGTAAACAGCCCAGCCCAATCTGGCAGTTGTCCGCAGCAAGGAGAGTTTACGAGCTGAACACGATTTTCATGTTTTCTCAGGGGCTGCGCGCACATGCTGTTTAACATCAAACAGGTAGCATGATATGGTTAAAGCTCGTCAATTTGACACTCATCACTTTGGAAAGCCAGATAATTCCAGTCATATGTATGGTTTATTGGCATCAAACTCTTAAGTTCACTGATATCTGGCCTCAACCTGATTAAGCACGCCGCATATGTAAGGCTCAAAGGAACAAAAATGGTGGTCATGAACAGCAGTAGGTCACAGGATTTTGAAAAGGCGTGATCATATTCACGTGCTTTTAATTCAGAGCAATTTTTTGACTGAGACATGGGGGGTCTTGAGCAGTGTTTACAATGTGAATGGAGGTTCAAATGACAAATTACAGCTTTTGCACTACTTTCATGCAAAGGAATTGCTGAATTTTCCTATTCCATAAGAAAGTAAGAGGGCGTGGACATTATAGGCATTCGTTTAAAGTTTTCTTGATACTTTCGATAACATCAGAGGTCAGGACTGTTTTTTTTCCACTCTTGTGAAACCCAAATTAAGGATGCTTTTGCCATATTGGTCCATAGCAAGAATTAATGGAGTAGCATTTGAATTTATGCGATTCTTCCTGTAGGGTGCCAGCAACGAGCTCCATAGCCTGCCAACATAGACACAGTAGCCATTCTAGTCGGCACAGGATTTACAACAGGAGCCAGTGACCAGCTTTTCATCTCTAGAGCCCATAGTCTCGACACTTGCTGGCGTAACTTGATTCCCCCATGCCATTGTGGCACACACTTCAGGACGAGAGCAAGCGCTTATGCACACAACAAATCTCCAACTCTGCTCCTTGTTGGTGGATTCGAGAAATTTCGCAACAGTTGATTAGTTGGGCACTTTGATACTCATGTCAGTCAATGATTACTTGTGAAAAAAAACTCCGGACCTGCTTTTCCAAATAATTTTGCAAGGTGTTATAGCAGTTTTCATTGCTAAATTCTGCAGTTGGTCTGGCCACATAGGGTCCCAAACCCATCGTCATCACTCGGTTAGCCGATAGACTTGGTCGGGAATATACTTCAAAAGAGTAACACTAAGCTGGTACAAACTGTGATCGCCGTAAGACCGAAACGCCGCCATGTTTTTCAGACATTTTTCCCACGATGATGTGCAGGGTTTACTAAATTTGCCTCCTGGTACTTGGTAGTCCGTAAGAGCACCGCAAAGATGAACCTGTTGTGGTAGTGCAGCGGCTGAGGTGTTGGTGTGCTAAGCACGAGGGTGCAAATTTTGTTGTGAGCCACGGCAAGCGCGTTTCACGAGGAGCTAAATGCCAGAATGCCCACATGCTTGGATTTGGGCACATTTTGAAGAACCGCAGGTTGTATGGTCAAAATTGTCCCAGAATATCCCCCACTATGGTGTGCCTTGGAATTGTATTGTGGTTTTGTTATATAAATGTATAGAAGTCATTTTGTTTCGATTTAACCACGGAGGAAACATGAAGAAAGGACGTGGTGAACACAAAACGACTTCAGGCTTCAGTTTTTTTTTTTTTTTTTTTTGAATTTGGCACTTGATCCAACTGACAGTCCAAATTCCAGCACGTTTGAGTGTACACTTAAACTTCATTACATCTAATCATTCAGCAATAACAGTGAAACACAGGTTAGCAGGGAAGAACAAAGTCTGTGTTGCAAAATGTTTCGAATCACTTTCTTGACGCATGAAATATGGTGGCTTAGCGGCTAATGGCATTGGGCTGCTAAGTAACAGGTGGCAAGATTAAATCCCTAGTGTGTCTCGATGTGTCCGAAACGCAAAGAATATTTGGTGCAAGCTGAAGAGGTCGTTGGTCAAAATTGATGCAGAAGTTCGTACTATGGCGTAGCTCATGATCAGGTTTTTGATTCTGTGCTTAGAACTCAACACTTCTCTTTTGTTTTTGTTAAGTGATTGCCGTGGTGGTCTGTGTTGTCTCACCAATACATCCTTTTTTCTTAACAGAGGTGCAGGAGCACTACAACAACCATTACATCGAGGGGAACATTGGGAGAGGTGAGTTCACAGGGTTTGTGCAAGTCCTTGAAATTTTCGATAACCCTTGAATTTCAAAAGTTCATTTTCAAGGCCTTGAAAGTGCTAGCATGTTTCGCAATCCTTGGATTTCTTTTTTTTATCTATATAAACAATGTCTGCACATTTTTCAGAGCATTATCTGGGATGCTGTAAATGTAGCACACGGCATATCTAATGTGCCCATCACAAAAGAATTGAGACTATCAGTACTTTCTGCATGGAACCAGAAAGGCAAGTAGCAAGACTGAGAAACAGAAAAACAACTGCCGAATTGAGGAGGAGGTTAAAATGATAACAAAAAAAAAAGGACTTCGCAGCAGCTTTTAAGGTGTTACAACTACAGCAGACTCTGATACAGAAAAAGCAGAGAGAATTGGTGACCTGGCGTGCATCGTGAAGTTGAACAGCTGTGGGAAGACTGCCGAGACCAAGCATCAGGAGATAGTGAATATTGATATGAAAATTCAGAAAAAGTAACAAGGCATTGCATGATTACTGTTTCTTAGTTTTTCTTATCTGAATAATTGTTTGCAGTTTCTGTCATACTGAAAGTGTTTACCTGTGCAACTTTGAGAAAGTATGCTTGGAAGTTGTCTAGAAAGGAAACGTCATTGGAGCCATTTTTTTTAATGTCTGCTCCAGTCATTTCAGCTTTTTTCGATGAATTCTAGTTACTTCAAGCCTTTATCCTCTTCTGAACAATGTTTTATTAGGGTTTATAACGGACAATGTTGTCCTTTGGAAATTATCGCACAGTAGCCTTAAAGGGCGTTAAAAACCTATGAATTTTTGTCGTGCAAACGAGCATGAATCCGTGGTTAAGTGCCTCTTTCGTGGCCGGTCTCTACTGGCCACAAGAGTTCCCTTTCAGTGTGACCCTGCATTTACGCATGTCTTCATGTGAAGGCAGCTTATAGGGTGCTAAGCAGTTGCCAAGAAGTCTTTGTGCTCGTGAAGTACCACCACCTGGTAGCAAACAGTAATGAAACTAATCTTGAAAAGTCACCCTTTGTGTATAAGACTGCGAAAACATGTCGGTATTCAGATCTAGGGTAACCACTCCAAGGAGCGTGTTTCAGTTTTGCCGTGATGAACTTGCTTGAATCTTGGAACTGAAGCTGTTAATGCTGCTTAGCTCCCTAAATCAAAATGCAGAAGGCCAGATGCTAAGGTTGGGGAGATCGGCGTTGTTTTCGGCATATCGCTGAACGTTGCCTGGAAGTGTGGAACTGTTGGCAAGGCTTTGTTTGTAGTTTCCTATGCCGGAATTTCACGCGGAAGTTGACAAAAATCTGAGGACAAAGCTCTGCCAAGATGTATGCTTTTCTAAACGGCTCAGCACTGTGTGCCGGCTGCCCAGGCAAGGTTGAGTTATCCAGCGAAGGTGTTACTATGTAATCCAAGCAACCTAAACATGGGTTTACGTGTCAAATAGACACCAGTTTGTGCCTAGAGTAGAGACCATGAAGTAGTAATTTGTACCCAGTTTCGTTGCCTAGATTGCACTTATTTACATCAGGTTGTTACATATGACATAATTTTCTTTCTCTCTTCAGCCACATGGTCCACGGAGGTGGCAATGCAAATCAAGGATCACACAGTGCCTGAAGGAGGTGAGTGGATGTGCCCATCAGTTGCCAAATGGCTTATTGCTCTGGAAGCAGCCAAACTAGTCACTTTTAACTTCTGGGGGCTAAATTAATGAGGTTGTGCATCGTGTCTCTATTCTTGAGAGTCTGGATGTAAGTTGTCTGCTGTTCGGCACGTGCAACTCATTTTTTTTTTAAATTTTTTTTTAGTCTCTGTTACCACTATGTAGAAGCCACTGAATTGGAAGAAGAAAAAAAAAGATGCACATTAGAAGTCGAAGAAATGCAGTGTTCCGATTTGCAGCGTAGACTGCTGCACTCTTTGGTGTGCTTTGGCTTAAGGTTCTATTTGTCCTTCAGGTCCATTGTCTCCAAGCCTAAGCACTCCGGTGGCCACAGTGGACATCGCGTCCAATGAGCAACAGGAGCTTGGCTACATGCCCTGTCGGGACGACTACGAAAGGGTGAGCAATCGGTCCATCAATCGGTCCGTCATTGACTTTGTCGACTAAATGTGGCCATAGTGATTTATGATGAGAATTGAGATAGCAGCGACACATCACCGTAAAAGCTCCAAAATTATAGACCCCAGGTTAACCCAAGTTACCCAATAAATGCGAAATAGCTTGGGTCGCCAGGCTGCCTCAGATCAGGAATGTCAAGCATCATCACCTGTCGCACTTCACTCGTGGTGAGGTAACGATGGCATACTAGAGCCCGAGCATTTGAGGTTATTTGCCAGACGTGCGTGCAGATGCAGCGTTTTTCGTGGACATGTTGAGGCAGGCTCATTACTTTTCAAGAAAAAAAAAAAAAAAGAGGCACCACTTAGCCTAGTAACTATGTTTTATCAACGATGTTGGAGCTTAATTATCTGTGAATGCCATAGTCCGACTGAAACTTCATTGCATGCTTCCAGAAAACAACAGCTGCGCTACTTACTGTGTACATACACGTGCTCGAACGGAGGCTTACTCGTTAACAGGCCTTCAAGCAGTAAAACAAGACCTCAGCTGTCAGTAGTTTTTCTTCATCACACGTACAGAGCTCAATTGTTGCCTTTTATTGGGTCATTTTTGATCACATCTCGTAATGCAGCAGGCTGGGGTTGTAAAAAGGGCGTGGTTGGAGCTGACGTTTTGATGAGCAAGTTCAAAGCTGCAACTGCACCTTGTAGGCTGGCTGCACCCCCAAAGAAGACAAGTACGCTTTTCGAAACGCAGCGCCTCGTGTTTCCAAATTTTTATCTCCTCGCGCTTTTATGTTCCCCTGAACGCATCTGCCTTTGTTTGGACCAACTTTGCGTTGGTTATGCAATGTGTTTTCTCGACTGCCTTACAAATATCCATCGATTTGTTGTGTCCAAGTGGTGTCATTACCTTTATCTTCTTGGCTTTCCACTCTCAGGAGTATGATAACGAAGCCGAGTCCCTGATCAGCCAGCTGTCGATGGGTGGCCCAGATGAGGACGACCTGGAGGTTGCCCTGAAGCTGGCCCAGGTGGACATGTACTCGAGGCGACTACGGGAGCGCATGCGCCGCAAGGGCCTGGCACGAGAGTACCGCCTGCTCGAGCAGTTCTGCCATGCGGGCCGGCCGGCCTCCAAGGCCAGTCCAGTGTCCCGCAGCAAGAAGCCTGTCCGTGAGGCCGACAAGTGAGTGCCAAGAGTTGCACTGGCATGTGGAAACCACAAAACGCAACCTCTCTGTAAAACTGAAAGCAGCAGCAGTGTGTCAGTATGCCTTAAAATTCTTTTGATGTGATTTGCAGCATAGAAGTACGTTCATATGCCTTGTACTCAGCATTTTAAGCTGGTTTGACAGCCAGCTCAAAACTGGAGAATGTAAATGAAACTGAAGTCGCCGGGCATGTCACGACCTTTGACATTGTTTTTCCTCTGGTAATTGTCATCGTGCTGTGACGCAGGGAACTCCAGGAGAAGATGCGCATATTCAGTCAGTTTCAGTCTGCCACGGAGCATGAGCAACTTCTGGAAAATCTCGAAAGTGAGTTGTCTTTCTTTTTTAAATGCAGATATCTTCATCATACTATAGAAGCTACTATAAAATTTTAAAAAAAAAAAAAACATCAACTGCGATTTCAGAGGGCCAGGAAAGAAATACAGTTGAAAATGGATACAGTCTAGTCCGCTTACAACAAACCTGAGCGTGACGCCGGCATCCGTTTGCTGTATCCCGAAGTTCGTAGTAAATGAAACACAGCTTTAAAAAAAAGTTGCGAGTGAAAACACAAACTTTTTATGCCCAAAAGAGTCCGTGATCCACATGTTTGAATAGCAGAAGCGATTGTTCATTTAAAACGGCAGAGTGCTCGTTCGCCGAGGCCCGTGGCATAAGCTGTTGAGGCACTGACTCCAAAGTTTCGTTGTTCTCGCAATTCGATTCCTCCAAATCGCTCTCGCCACGTGCTTCATTCACAATGCCCAAATTCATGCATGGTTCCGCAGTGTCGGCATCATCATCGGCCGTAATTAAATCATCGACACAGATGTCCCACCCGCTCTCCCAGGTTGGAGTAGATGACGCGCTGCCACAAATCGCCGCCGCAGTTCGGAAGCTTCAGGCTCGGCATCGGGCCCGACGTCGACGAAGTCGGCCTCGCGAAAACAGTTTCGCGCGCATATAGCCGTCACCGCCGCCCACGAAATATTCACCAACTTCACAACTGAATTCCGGGACGCCCGAAGCGGCAAGTTGGCTGCCAGGTGGTCAACAGCTATGAGCAGGCGCTCCGCAACGTGGCACCTAACGCGCGGATTACGCTCGAGCCAAGCGGTCACACTTTCGACGTTTTGTTGAGCGGCACGAAAAAGCGTGCTAGTCTTCCCGTCGGCCATCATGACCACACACGCACACCAAGAGCGAGCAAGACGCGCACACGCGACACATGTGCCAGAACGCGTGGAACAGCTCTGCACCCGTTTCCAGTCAGAAAACGAAACTAATTCGAGCCAGCATGGCGGGCGTCGCGGAGCGGTGGAGACAGGCAAAGGGGTTGTGATCAAGAAAGGAGAGCAGACTTGTGAGAGAAGGGCAAGGAGTTGCGATAAAGAGAGGAGAGGATGCGGTGGCAGGGCGACCTTGAAAACCAAAACACACGGGAAGGATGCAGGTTGGGTAGCTTGCTTGAATAGTCTGCGAAACTCGCACGTAGAAAAACTTGGAAGTAGTGCATGGCCGCCTGATTCGGTGCGCGCGGCTGTGTTCGAAGAATCGGCATTCGTGGTCAAAAAATCGTTTTGTTGCGCCCGCGAGTTTGCGTGGCCTCACGAACTTCGATATTTTGCGATTCGTTCTATGCAAATTAACACCCGTTTTCGCGCTTCCTCACGCCCGTGGAAGGCATGCTGAGCAGAGTGCAAAGTCAGCAAGAGCAAGTCCTAAACACGAAACTCATCGCAAATTATCAGAGTTGGTAGGGTAGCGTACGCACTTGCACTAGACACAGACTATCAAGTTCAGTCGGTGGCCGACGATGTTGGCAAATGGTCTGGTCACTCCAGGCTGGCGACGTCAATGACAGTACCAGCGATCAAAAACGGGGTAGATCTCCGATTCGTCTTAGATCAATGGCAGTGTGAAAACAAGGGCCTCGTCTGGCGATGCGGAATGCTCAGGGTAGCAGGGGGCCAAAGGACGCAGGGGTACGTAACAAAAGCGGTCGGGGAGAGCGGTAACTAGAGGGGCGCGGAGGCAGGGTCGGTGTTTAACAATAAAAATGTATGGGCACCTCGCCGATGCCTGATCAGTGGTCTAAATTGGTTTCCCAGGAAGTCGGCAGACCGCTGACTCTGTTCGCTGTAACCGTTCAGCGTCGCTCGGAGGCGTTCGTTGCAAGTGTGATTTTGTGCCATTGAACCAATGTATATTTTCACGGTCATGCGGATATTGTTCGTTTTAGGTGGGGCCGTTATATTTGGGCTTGACTGTATATCGAACTCGAAGGGAATTGTGAATTAGTTTGATATATGAAAAATTTGAAACAAAGAAATTGGCCCCGTATCGGCATGTTAATCTGCAGATGTCAAAAGAAGGTAGTCATGGGTGTGGAGAGAGTGAACAAAACATTTATTTGATGTTCTGCGCAAGAAAATTGGTGAATCGTATTCTGGAGGCGCTGCGTTGTGTCTCGAGCGTGCAGCAGAGGCGAACGAGCGCATCAAACACGTCACGAGTGAGACATGAGCGCCATCTGGCTGTTTTTCGGAAAACGAAGCACGTGGCTTTGAGACTGGTGTGCGCGCCCCTCTCAGAGGTGATATGGTGTGAACGCAAGACGACGAGTATAGGTGCCACCGCCGTCTCATCTTAGCAAAGTGTTGGAAACGTTGTACAAACGTCTCATGGTCAGCGCAGCGTGATAAGCGCTACGGTCCTTAAAATTTCCTATGTATGCCTTGTCTAGTAAAAGGCGCACATGCAGAATATATACACGTTGTTATGGTGTCCCAAACAAGTGCAATAATTCCTTTTTATTTGACAATTGCACAAAAATGATTGCTAAACCTTGAGCAACATTGGTGGGCGCTGCGGATGATGTGGGCAGTTTCTAATACATGGTGCCGTAAAAAGTAAACAAACAGACAAATGTACAGACAGACAGACCAAAATGTTTGCGTCGAAGGTCCCCAAGAAAGACTGTCGTCTTTAAAAATACAGGCACCGAGAGCTTACCTGTAGCGGGTCATCGTACACAATAGGTGCATTGAAGAATGACAACTAATTCCGCACACACGTTGCAACAGAATAATTTATTGGCATAAAAAAAATCTCTAACCCTGATTGATTGATATATGGGGTTTAACGTCCCAAAACCACCATATGATTACGAGAGACGCCGTAGTGGAGGGCTCCGGAAATTTCGACCACTTGAGGTTCTTTAATGTGCACCCAAATCTGAGCACATTGGCCTACAACATTTCCGCCTCCATCGGAAATGCAGTTGCCCCAGCCGGGATCCGAACCCGCGACCTGCGGGTCAGCAGCAGAGTACCTTAGCCACTAGACTACCGCGGCAGGGCATCGCTAAACCTGGCCTGCTTCATATGTAGCCTTTAACTTCGTCGCAAAGTTAAGGGTCTTGCACTTCTTGACGCTGGCCATAGCTACACGAGAAGTCGACAAGTCAGGGAGTCCTTAGCGGCTTTGCACACCACGCATTGCAAAAGAGAAAGGCTAAACATGCGGTGTTACTCAGACGACGCAACAGCTCGAGAGCAACAAAGCGCTCCCGAGGTGATGGCTACCTGCGAGGGCAACAGCAAAAAAGGCACGAGCTGTGGTTGGCTGATCAAACCTCGCTAAAACACCATTAAAAAAAAATAAAAGGAAAGGCGAAAGGTGGAGGACGTCCTTCATTCCTGCTCTCCGAGCCGACGCATACGCAGAGAAAGCATGAGTGAGAAAAGGAGAAACGAAAAAATAAAATGCCATTCTGCAAGTTGGAGATTGCGCAGTCCGAGCCCTCTCGCCTTCACCTTTTTTTTTTTTTTTTCGAGCGTTTAGGGTTTCCGCGGAGGCGTGGTGCTGCACGGAGGTCGCTGGGCGCTGCTGCGAGTGCCAAATATGCGCCTTCTAGCTCGCGTGGCTTTCTATATACAGTCGAATTTCGCTACAACGAAACTGACGGGGTGCGGAAAAAATTTTGTTGAAGCAAAACTTTGGTTGTAGTAACATCGAAAAAATAGAGCTGATCTGAGCTAGCAAAACGAAGGAATATTTATTCTCAAAATTCAAAACATGTCCACTGCTTCCTATTTTTTCCCAGCAGTGTCATGTCGCGATTCTCATTTATGCAAAGTGGGGCCATGTTGAAAAGTAAGCTGAAACAACGCCTAAAACCGTCTTCGTGAATGAACCAAACAGTTGCATTAACATGTTAACACCAGCAGCTGTCCGCTGCCAAAAGTATCTGACAACGCCGAGATGGAGGCAGGGTATCGTGGAGTGGCGGCATTGGCATTATTTTATGCCATTCTTATCATCCATCACTCTCCGCTAGCTGATTTTGTTGATAATGCGGATGAACAGCCGCTCTGATTAGTTATTACACTGGCCAAGAACGAACATAATGATAGGCATCGGAAAAGGCATCGTTCCACGGTTGCACCCAGCAGCCGCGTGAAGGAAACAATGAACTGAGCGACTGAGCTTCAGCTTAGGATCGTCTGCGGCTCAAAAGCACCAGTTGCAAAAGCAGGGCAGTCTCATTGCCATCGCTATTGAGCAGTGGCGGCGCCTATGCTTGCTGAACAGCAGCGGTATAGCGGCGGTTTCTGGTGGTGCCAACGCGTGTTTAACGCTTTTTCAGGCTCTGAAAATGCATCAAGATGTTAAAGATTGGGTTCACTGCATAGAAATAAGTATCTGAGCATGGAATTGCATTGAAAAATTTCGTTGAAGCGAAATGATCGAAGAGAAAGTGTTCGTTGTGGCGACAATATTTATGCATTGACTTCTTTAGACTACTGACGAGGTATCGTTAATTTTTCGTTCTAGCGGAAATTTCGTTGAAGCGGCGTTCGTTGTAGCGGAGTTTGACTGTACCTGAAAATTCGTTATATGTGTGTCGATATAACCGTGTTTGACTGTATTCCCAAATCAATGCTGAAGGCGCACTTACCGACAGAGTCAGTAAAACAATGTGAAAATGCCATCACGACCTAGCCAGCGTGTTCGATGCCAGCTTGTGAGCCACTGTAGAATCTGTTCCTCATCGCAGAGAGCCTGTGCCATGTTTGTGGCCTTGTGCACTCGTTGCACTGAGACAAAGCAAGGCTGCTAAGCAGCATATTTGCTGCGTGCAGAACCGTGGTCATCGGTGACTCGAGTGTGGATGGTGTGCTCACATTTTTAAAAGCACGTGCTTCTATGCGAGCCACGCCTAGGCTGTATTTTTTTTACTGTAGTTGCTGCACATAGAAGCTGAATAGCTAACAACTGGTGGTGTGGGAATATTTGAAATTTCGGATATTTTTCAAATAGCGTTCGCTATTTGATTCAACTTGCACCGAAATTTTACTATCCGAACTTCCCAAAGACAAATACTGATAGCCGATTAGCAGTGGCCCCTTCAGAGTTTCAATGTGCTTCACCCCATAACACTCTCATATTGTGGCAAAGCAGCCTTCCAAGCTCGGCTATGGTAACATAAGTATTGACTAAAGAAAAACTGTGGTTCCAACCGGGGATAAATGTGGCAGATGTGCGAGCTGAATTAAGGGGCCCTGCAATGCTTTTTGAGCAAGGTCGGAAAGCACTGCCGATCGGTAGTTAAGGCTCCCGACAAAACGCGAGCCAAATATTATAGCGCAGCACGCGACCTGGAATTCACAATAAATTATAATATTCACAATAATTATCAGTCAGCTAAATATTGCTTTCTCTCGACAAATCACGCAATATACCCAAAAATCACACTCAGCAAGCCCATCTATCTGCCATTGTCTAATTAGAACATTGTGCGTTCGGTCGTTACGGAGATTGCAGCAAGAGGCCGGGACTTGTCCACGCGTGCGCGTACAATCACACTGAACAAGCCGCGCATTCAAAGAAAAAAAGAAAAGTGCTCAAGGTCACGAGGTCCGCGTGACGTCTTTCTTTGCGCCTGCCATTTCTCCCTGCTTAGCTTCCAGTGATCGTGTCGGGATGAGAGAAGAGAGAATGCAATCGCAGCATGCGACGAATCTCTGTACAGCCGAACTTGGTAATTCGAACTCAAAGGGGCCCGAAAATTTGTTTGAATTAAAAAAAAATTGAAATAATGAAAGCTCAATGAACGGAAGGCTCTCCATGCAGTGGCGCTTGTGCATTGAGCTAACACACGAGGGGAAGTTTAGGAAAACTTACATTTATTCACAAATCAGGAGACATCCATTCTAAATTGAAGTAATCGGTGATGCGTGTCTGTACACGTTTGCCTTGCAATGAGTCAATCAGTTTCGCACGCAGCTTGCAAAGCATTTCTACTTCACCTTCACCATTCTCCTGGCAAGAGAAGTTGCGAGCGGTAATGTCCAGCGCCGACACTTTCTAAAGTCGACGACAACAACGACTGCTGCGTAGCGGAGCCTCCCGCACTCCACTATGCAGCCGCAGCATGGCCAGCAGGTGACGAGAAAAGAGCAGCGTCTCCACGCGGAGAGAAGCGGATCGGTATTTGAGAGAAAACCAACACTTCACGGCAGCTTTTTAAGAAGGAGGGTCTTAACGAGGCAGGGACGGAAAAGAGAGAAGCGTGACACGGGTGTGTCGCAGATCGGCATTTGAGAGAGCAAACCTTCCATCGCAACCTTTTCTTTCCTTTTCATTTCCTTCGCGGGCAGCATTAAGGTGTCGCAGGTGCCGTCGCGGGATTGGGCGAGGTGCTGAGAGCATTTTTGGAGCGCGGTATGTTTGAAATAACCGTGGGAACTGCTTGGGCGTTTGAATTGCCGGGCATTTTCGCCCATTAGAATACACATAGCTTTGACGGGACCTCATCGTGAGTTCGAATAAACCGGATGTTCTAGTTAGGTGTGTTTGAAATAATGTGATTCGACTGTAACTTCACTCGCACTGGACGAATTTTTAAAATGTTTCCGCCGTTTAATTCGTGAGGCAATAAGCTCTTGCGGAGAGTTCATTCCATGGTTACTTGAAAAAGTGTTTCAGGGCCCCTTTAAGGCTGTTTGGAACTGAAACTCGGGCAATGCTTTGGTTGCACCAAATCATGTACATAAATACAATTCAGCCTTTGCATTGTTGCCTCAGTCTTGATCAGACGACTGTGAAACACAACCACAACAGCGCTTCATCAGCCTAACCAAAAGAAACTCTTATGTTTCTATTTGATAAGCACATGCTTTGGAGTTCTCTCCAACTTTCAGTCTCTGCAAATTCATTTCGAAATATATTCTAGAAATATTTGAGAAATATTCTATTTAATTCGCAATCATACTTGTATGTGTGAATTCGCTTTGCAGCCAAAGTTTTGCTATTAGCACAGCTCTACGAACGATTCGATTATACATGGTAGCCGAGGGATATTGAAATCAGAGACAAAACTTCTTTTTGCCGTAGCAGCTGCTGCAGAAGCTTATATTTAAATTGTGCCAATCGCAGTCTGAACATTTTGTCAATGGAAAACGTCACTGTTTGTAGCTTATAAAAATGTAGCGTTAAATATCCCTGTACTGTTTCGTTTCACATTTATGTGCATACTTCAGTGTAAATGGTGCTCTATTCTTTTCAATCCCTTTCGCAATATCTTGCATCGAGTGTATCACATTTACACTTTGCTGCATTTCAGGGGAAAAGGAGCTCAAAGCCAGGATCAAGGAGCTGTTGAGGTATCGGCGGAATGGCATCACCAAGCTCGACGGTAAGAACTGCACTGGAGGATTGTTAATAGCGTTCTTGTTTGGTCACATTTGAAGATTGGTAAAATTTTGTTAACATTTACTAAATTTAAGACATACCAACAGTTGAGAGTGATGGTCACAGTGAATGCTGTGTGAAGTCTTTGGGGAGTGAACTTTTTTGGCCAACCACATAAACCGTGTGGCTCATTGTACACTAACAAATTTGTGCGAACGACTACTTTTTATTGCGTAAACTCTTGACTCTGCTGTCTTGACTTGTGGTTCATCTGGTGCTGCGTGATGCTGCAAAGGGTGTTGAAAACCTGTTCTGGAAAACAGGGCAAAGTTCAGCCTATCAAATGTCGCAGCACGAGTGCAGTGATGATGCTTTTCTAAGAACTCTGAAAACTAGTCTAGTGCAATTCTATTGGTCAATGAGTGAGATTTCTCTGGTATGTTGTTTGTGGGGACTGGTGTGCATGGTACCAACTACAAAATGCCCCATCTTATGATCTGCGTTCTTTTTTTTTTTTTTTTTGTCAGATTGCTCAGAGTTTGACGTCGCGAGGCATCGTCGAGAAAAACGGAAGGAAGTGAAAAAGAAGTCTGTAAGTGTTACCTCTCTTTTGCCTGTTGCTCGCTGATTTTTGCTGCATGCAGAGAGGATTGGTGCCTTTGAAAAAACAAGTGTTCGTGGAGCGCGAAAAATCGAGCAGTTTTCAAATTCCGCACAGGAACAATGTCATGGTCTATCCCGGCATCATTGCTACAGACATGCAATCTCTGTTTTTTAAATGGCTATTCTGCTAGTACTATCGTTATGATTGAAATTGGGATCAGCCGATCATGAGCACAGTTGAACCCTTCTATGACGGGTTTAAATTGAGCTTTTTAAATGCTACACGACATGTTTTCAGCGTGTTCACTGATTCTAAGTGGCACTGTGGCATGCCTTGTGTTGTACGGGTTAGCGTTTTGGTCAGATGTTTTCAAGCTCTCTGGTGAGCTTCAAAGGTTTAGATAAACTAGTGAGGACCAATTTCCGAACTTAGATAACAAGAATGCTTTGGCTCGGAACTCTACTGCGCTCAGGGAATCAAAGATGTCATGTAGAACACGTCGCTGTTGTTACTGTTTGCCACACTGCTTTATGCTGGGCTGCGAAAGAGATGCACTGCAGTGTACAATGGAATGAGATTTTGCAGCTCTGCGTAATCATGCGTTGAGTCATCTAAGCCCTCTCCGGTGTTGCAAAAAATGCTGACACAAGGTCCAAATATTGTGCTTCAATCTAACCCTATACATGTTCTCATAGTCGGCCACAATTTATTTTGACAGTGGAGCGAACGCTACAGAGGCAGGGCTCCCGCACATTCGTGTCACGCCGCAAGTAGTATAGTGGCTTGCGGCTGATTTCAGTTTTACTCGCTCACATCGTTAACGTGTTCATAAAATTTCTGTTTACACGGAATTGTGAATGGGAGAAATTTTTTGACGGTCCAGTGTAACATATTACGAGTACATTTTGCTTGGAAAACTAAACAGTGTTTAGGGCTGCACACTGATGCACTACGTCATGGACGCCGTGTTTACTTTAGAAAACGGGTGTGCTGAAAAAGATGTCGAAGAAATGGAAAGAAAAGGAAGGCATTCTTGCAAAGTGAATAACTGTATTCTACGTACGAATTCTCGCAACTGTTGTTTGAGTCTCATTAAAAAGCAGCATTTATTTCGGGAAGGCAAAATGAGGATGTTGTCAATAAAATTAAGTACTATTTCTTGGCGCGGCAACAGGCACCTTCTTCGGTTCTGTAGCTTCAACAGTGCTGTCAAGAAAAGTTGTTGCCGAGTGTAGTTGTTCTATAGAAATTAAATTGGTGTAATATTTGCTGTGCCTTTTTGGTTGCCTTTTCTGTTGCCTTTAATGCAATGCGAAAGCTACCAACTTGTGCGAGCTTGTTTCTAGAAGCTTGCATTTCTTGATGTGTGTGTGTGTGTGTGTGCGCCTTGCAACTAGTCTAAGGAAGAGGGGCGCTCATGCCAAATCAGTTTGCCCTCAACGCAGGCACCCGCCAGCTCCGTTCACAAAAAGCCCATCTCAACGGCATCAAAAAAATACGAGTGAGTGTTCCTCCACTTTGCAGCGCTGCATGCCACTTATCATATGTGGTCCCTGTTGCTGTGCATGCACGTTGCACATGTTCAGCTTTTGCTGCTCCTTTGCTCACTTAAATGTGTGCAGAGTTGAACAAGTGTAACATCACATTCAGGCTTGTTTCGATAATCGTGGCACTTCGCACTGTGTTACCCATGATGTCACGCTCCTGGCCACATTTGAGGGCAAGTTGCCTTTGTATTTTTTGCTTCCGTACTAGCGCAAAAGGTCCTGTGGCAAGGAAACACCAGCACTGCGAAGGTGCAGCATCAGCGTGGGCTGTTGAACTCGAGAGTTATTCAATCATACCTGTTGCGAAACTGCGTTCTGAAATCCAGACATGCAGTTGGCTCGATTTTTCGGAAGGTAGCTGACTGTCGCGCCACCCAAGAGCTGCAACACAAAACACAAATAATGCGGTTGACATTGAGCGTGTGGATCAACAGGTGGTGCGACAATCTGCTCACTCCCCACAAGGGGGGGGGGGGGGGGGGGGGCAATGACTTGTCTGAATTTTGATACACAGAGCCTATGGTAAGTTATGCAAGTCATATAGTATTAACTCTGGTTGCTCTGACCAACCTACAAAAATTTTACAGCGCTTTGAAATTCTCAGATCAGCTGTCTTACTGAATTGGTATAGCTTCTAGGTGTGATTATCCTGTAGATGGCCGCTTCAGAAAGTGAAAACTGACAAAATGAGTGAAGTTTAGTGCTGAGCTGTGTCACTTGTGCCCGATTTCAATATAGCCAGCCTTGTAAGATAAGAAAATAAGATGCTGACATTTTCTGTTGCCCCTTGAAACTGTTACGAACAAGGCTTTGGAAATGTTTAGGGATGCTCAATTCCACACATAACTATGTGTGGAATTGAGTAGGGTGAACTAGAATGCAACTGATCTTGCTTCGTGTTTTAAGTTTGATGCAGGTACCTAGCAGATTGCCTTAAGGGGAGACGCTCCTCGAAAAGGTTTTTTTACATTTCTAGTAATAGAGACTTGAAAAGTTTGTTATTAGTATAGTTTTTCATGCAGATTTCAAATATGCAATCATTTTTGTGTAGCTGCTATAATAATTGAGTTATGCCATAAACAATAGCAAAAAGTTACATTTTTTGCGGGCACTCTTTTATGTACTAAACTTTCAGTAAAAGCACTGTGTCTGATCTTATTTGACTCTTTGTAGATTGAAAAGTGCAAATATCTATATAGATATCTCACACAAATATTGGAACCAAGAAAAAAAAAATTGTATTGAATGACTTATTATTTTCAATCTCCCTTGAAACAATAAGCTAATATTTTCACAACTAATGTTGGTAGGCATTGCAATTTAGAGTAGATATTTGCATTCTGCATGTGTTGAAGAATATGTGTGCCAAGTTTCGTTACTATACAATGAATATAAGTTTCTAAAAGGCTGCCCGGAAAACGTGAAACTGTCAGAAAAAATGAAAATGAGAAAAACAAGTTTGAAAGTTCGCAAAGTTGGCATTTATTAGGAAATCATTCTTTTTGCATCAAATTGGGGCACAATGAAAAGTACCTTGCCTTGAATGCACTGCAAGTGTCTAGAAGTCCCCTGCACCATAGCTTGGTCCTTCACGGCTCTTGCGGTCAGTGTCCTCAACACGAGCTCTCTTCGCTGTGTTGCGACGGTGTGCCCTCGCTTCTGCAGTTTGCTTCAGGTTCATCTTCCTGATGCGCATGACGTCACAGTGGTCACCATGTGTGGCCAGATCTTGTGAGGGGAGAATTCCAATGCCTTCGAGCACTTCTTCAAAGCCCCTGTGGCCTTTGTTGTACCAGAGTACAGCAAGAGCGGTGGCTGTCTCCACAGTTGTTCTGGAGGCGAACTTTGTTTTTGGACATAGCAGCCATATCTTGCTGTTCAGCGATTCGGCTGCATTCTGTGTCTTGCCATGAAGGCACCGAATAAGGAGTTTTCTCCTCTGTAAGGCGCTTGTAGATAGGCATAATTGCCAATCCTTGAGCCTTCGTCTGCCCCGCCGCGGTGGTCTAGTGGCTAAGGTACTCGGCTGCTGACCTGCAGGTCGCGGGTTCGATTCCCGGCTGCGGCGGCTGCATTTCCGATGGAGGCGGAAATGTTGTAGGCCCGTGTGCTCAGATTTAGGCGCACGTTAAAGAACCCCAGGTGGTCGAAATTTCCGGAGCCCTCCACTACGGCGTCTCTCATAATCATATGGTGGTTTTGGGACGTTAAATCCCACAAATCAATCAATCAATTGAGCCTTCGTCAACAGTGGAGTGTGGCGTGGTGCAGGCTCCCCCAGTGCTTCCGCACGCTTGTGCTTGCACCACGAATTTGGTCCCGCGGGGCAAAATTTGTGGCTACTGGCACCATCACTGGAGCAGCTATGAAAATACGATGCCCATATGGCAGTGTACATATTTCGGACACTGTCCTTGTTGCTCGTGATGGCGATCTTGTAATATGTTTGTAGTTTTATTATTGTCGCATCTTTCAGCTTTTCGCCTCGTTGCAGTGGCGTTGCCAATTTCCGTAGGGCAGTTCCCAAGCGCTTTGCAACGTGGTTCGTGCACTCTTCTTTGTCAATGGGGGTGTCACAGTATACATTTGCCTCGCAGACTGCAGTGTAGGCCTTGCTGTCACCATCACTTAGGAAGCTGGTGAATCGCAGTGGAGTTTCATAAGACAAGGTCCTCTGCCATATATTGACAGCTGCCGCAGGTTCCATTGCATGGGATGAGCAGTCAGTGTTTTTTTGGCAAACTGGAAGATGAAAAGCTCGCCATATCTCTTCATCCTCCCCAAGGTCCCTGTGTATACTGCAAGCATGGCAGTAGTTCGAAAGAACTTCAAAATCGAGGCAGAGCCCCGTGTCCAGGGACACGACTGTGCCCACTCCATTGTGGCTTTTATGACCTCTTTTCTGCCAGGTGCCATCAAACATGACTGGCACATCTCTGCCCCCGACTACGTCCTTCGTGATGTTTCGTGCCTGGTGCAAGTTTTTGCTCACTGCCGTCATCGCCGCACTATGGAGCTTCTAGCAAATGCCGTTGAATGTCTTGTGATGCATCGGGCTCGGAAGACCGAGAATCGCACAAAATCGTGAAAGTTGGTCGTGGCCTGCGCCTATAGCGCGTGCTGCCAGAACTGCCTTCACGTTTGCAGCAAAGCTGTCACGCGAGCTGCCGCTGTCAAAAACGAGCGCTCGTTCCTTGGTCCCCGGCCGAAGCAGTACGTCTCGACGTGTGCGTAAACGAAAGTGCAGATTCAGGGCAATCAGAATTTTGACAGCACAGTTCGAGGAATGCCGAAAGTCCTTTGCGCTTTCCAGCTGCCTCTCGCACGCCGAGCTTCTTCCGTTCGCGGCAGGTTGGGCATTGCGCACCCGCCACAAGTGCCGTCAGCGCATCGATTTCGCAAAGCAGCATGTTCGCAGTAGCAGCATCTACCGGTCTACGTTCACTCTCGAAGAATCCAATCTTCCTTTGGGATGCACTGACGAATTCCACGGCAGCGGCTATTTCACAACCACTGTCGCAGGGTTCGGTGACGGTGTTAGGCCTATCCGAAGTCGGAGCGTCGGGGCGTTGGTCGGGGGCGACATCGTCGTTCGCTGTCGCTTTGCGAAGCATCCGACGCCGTTTTCCTCGATACTTGTGGCGAGTTCTGAACTTTCGATTATCTGAACTGCACTTCTTCGGGCTTGCCATGACGCAAAAATGCAGAGAAACGCAGAAAAACTCGATCGTGACGTCCGAGGCTTCGCTCTTTTGCCGGAGAGATAGGTGGGGAAGGAGCGTGGAGCGCACCGCCGTCCAATGGCGGCCTCGCGCTGTGTGCCGCGATATTTAAAATGCGTGACGTACGCGTTGTTTTTCTCGTTTTTTGTTTATTCTGCGTGAAGGCACGAGACTGGCTACTAGTGGATTATGAAGGATACGGCCTTCGCAGCATGCGTGCACGATTGCAAATGGCGGCCAACGCGTCGTTTTCGCGACAGGACAACGCGAACTTCGCCGTTTTTCGCGACTTTCGCGCATTCCTCGCGTCACCGCTGCCCACTTGGAAGCATTTTTTGATAATTTCTCGTGCGAATTTCAGCTTGATATTTTCAGAAGTACCGTATTTACTCGATTCTACCGCGCCCTCGATTGTAACGCGCACCCGATTTCCACCGCGAAAAAAAAAAAAACGTAAGACATCGATTGCAACGCGCACCCATTTTTTTTTTGCTGGCCCGCACGATCACACCACTCGAAAAAACGATTCCTTTGGGGATTGTCTTCCATTTAAATATGAGGTACGGGCGAAGCTTGTGCCCATCTGACGTGTAACAGAGCATTGCCATCACTGTAGTTTTACCGTGGACCGATGTCAGCACGCGAACTTGCTTCGCCCCCTTCTTCTCGACAGTTGTAGTGCCAGGCATGTCGAAGTAAAGAGGCGTCTGATCGGCATTCCAGATTTGCCCAAGCAGGTAGCCGTTGTTGCGCCGCAAGTTTAGGACGAACCTCTGAAAACTGTAAAGCTTTTCATCGTACTTCTCCGCAAAAGTTTTCGCATATGCATGTTCCCCTTCGGAGGGAAGAGCCTTTCCTCTTCATATAGTTAATTAGCCAGCACCTGCTCGCTTTAAACAGGCTCCGCATTAGACTTTTTTCTAAGATTAATTGCATAGCCCGCACTTGGAGCAGTTCTGTCGTCATGGGCCGCTGTGCCACTCGCTCCTCAAGCACATACTCGCGGAGCAGCTCTTCAATTTGCGGAAACCGACCCTGCTGTGGTTCACTGAAGCCTTTGCGTGAAGCTTTGCTGTCGACAATCTTCTGCTTTTGTTTCCGCCGGTCCCGCACGCACGTTTCGAGAAGGACCACGATGCGGCCCGATTTCCGTCCGTTTCTGCACACGCGATGACTTTTCTTTTAAAAGCGGCATCGTGGTGCACTCGAGTTTTTGGAGTCGGCCCTTCCAAGTCGTCGATGCTAATGCACTACTAGATGACGAACTTCTCAGCACACGTACGAAGTGCCGCACATGGTAAACACATAGGCAGAAATAGCCGACGCACCATGCCAACGCACGTAGGGGGCGGCCATTTTGGATTTGCGATGGCAATAGATTGACCGTAATTTTTTTGTTCGTACTCGATTCTAACGCGCATGCGATTTATAAACTCGCTTAACCGGAAAAAAGGTGCGCGTTAGATTCGAGTAATTACGGTAATAGATTATAGTCCAAGGATGCCAATACAGCCGAAAAAAAAAAGCGAAAATTTTCCGGAAAACCGCGACTTTTCGACCCGCGTCTCCCCTTAAACAGAGAAGGAAAAGTAAAACACAGTTGCAAGTGTGATTTGAAAGCAATGTAGCGATTCTTTTAATAGTGATTGGTTGTTTAACTATAAGTCTGCTTCAGCTTTTTTGGGTGTGATGAGGAAGTGAGGCCATGGCATTGCTGCTGCTTGTAATAACCACTGAAATGTGATAATGATAATGGAAAATGTGAAATAATGATAATGTGAAATTTGATAATGGCTGCTGAGATTTTCCCACCTGCGGTTTACCTCTTTTTTCCTTTTAGTCCACAGTGAGGTTCTCAGAGCATGTTGTGCATGATAACACCCTTGAGTGGTGCTATGACAAGTGGTGTGTTGCACACGAGCTGTGTAATACCATGCACTATGCCTTGTTGGCAGTGCTTTCTTTCTCATCTTCGTGTTGTCTTCTTTTTTTTTTTACTTTCCTTGGACTGATTGACTTCTGAACTTTTCTTCCACAGAGAAAAAGGAGGCGTCGACACTATGCTAAGCGAACAAGGTACGTTGTCTCTGTGTTTTGCAAGTCATCGTGTGGGAGCACTTTGACCGTGAAAGACGCCGCACTCGCAGAGGAGGCTCTTTTGGTGTTGCCTAATACTGTCTCCCTGTCACAACAGAACCTGTGACCTGGTCTCAGAAACTTGGCTATCTTGTAACTCAGGTCACAGATGGATTTTGAAAGCTTTATGGTTCAGTTACTTACTGTTAAGACAAAGGCTTAAGTACCTGCGCAAAAAACATGCAGCTAGAATGTGCACTCAGAGTGACAAATAGGTATAACCGAAGGATAACAATTGTAAGGCACCGCCTCCTCTGCTTCGTTTAGTGCTCCTTGTCTCCCACTATGATGGACCGCCTTGATGGTTACCCCTGGTTGTAGTGAGAAATTTGCCACAACAACGCAAACAACAAAATTTGCAAATTCGAATTCGTAGCGCGTTAAAAGGAATTATTAGTGAAGGCCGATCAATGCCGACCTCTCTCTTTTTTTTACTTGCGGTGGCACTATGACGCTGTTGCCGCACTCAGTGGGAGCTGGTTGCATGCCAACCAGCTGCGGCATCTGAGGTAGTGTAGTATAGCACAGCTCTGAAACAGACTAGTAAATGTGCCACTGCTGCCAGGCATTCAGTCTATTGTATTCTAGAGCTGCAGTTGGAAAGCCTAAAGCACAACAGCTTTAATGGAGTACCCATTATGCGAGGAAAATTCTTTGGATGGTTTCACAATAGGAAATTGGGGGAGTCAAACTGGTGCTGCCCACATGAATGGATTGTTGTTGGGAGTTATGGTAGCTTGAACTGCCAGTGCCTTTTTTTGCTGTGCATTCTGTTTTTATTATTCCCATGTTGGTGTTTATTATGAGTTTTTGCTAAATCATCCACCTTGCTACTGAAGCGACTTAATCTTGAAGCCCATAAAAACGAACCACAGTACGTCGCTCTGCAGTTTTGAAGGGACAGTGGAACTTCGATTACCGTATTTACTCGCATAATACTCGCACTTTTTTAACCGATGCAAAGTTGGGGGGTGCGAGAATCATGCGAGGGAAAACTTTCTACGAAAACGTACAGGGCGAAAAAGAAAACGAAGTGGCCGCAAACCGAGATTCTCACACCAGCAACTAATAGCAAGCTTTAAGAAGTACTAATTAAAACTTACCTCAACAATAAAAGCAGAGATTCAACACAAGACAAGATTTATTTGAGACACAAAAAGTGAAAGCAAATAGTCGAGAATTACAATACCATACGCAAAGCTTGTGGATGTTGCAGGCGTAGCGATAGCGTTTGTCGCTCAACAGGAGCCCTCAAAAGGTAAGCGTAGGATGTCAGTATTGGGCTGATGGCTATTTAACAGAATCGTCCACAGTTTTCTTCTGAAGAAATAAAGTTTACCATCAATTCCAGTTTTGGGCACACGGCAGGCCCTGCACGTCTTGGTGGCTTTCAGCTGCTGTCACCAGTAGCGAACACAAAACTCGTAGACTCCGAAGGGCCTACCGGCGGCCCTGTTGCCGTTTGGTGCATGATCTATCACTTGCAACTTGAAAGCAGCCGTGTAGCTTGAGTATCGCCTCATAACGTGACAAGATTACTGACAACATACAAAACACGCCGCAACGTGCACTGGACACTTCGGCTTGGCTTGGATTGAATTGAATCTCCGTGCAATAGTACGCTTGATGGTGAAGAGAAGGTGCGCTATGATCATCAGTGGCTGGAACGAGCGGACGACATTATTGCGGCAGTTTTTGAGGGTGCGATAATTACTCGAGGAAAAAAAAAAATCTTATTTTGGTTGGGCGATGTGAGGGGGGGGGGTGCGAGAATTATGCGAGTGCGAAGATTACACGAGTAAATACGGTATATATCCCCTAGTTTCGCGCTGACCTGCATTTGACGACGAATCGGTATGGTACTGGCGAAATCCCCATAGAAGTTATGTATTAAAAGCCTTGGTTATACCATGCTGTTTTATTGGGAATTTCAAATTTCGTCCAAAAGAAAAAAAAACACCTTTATTCAAATCAAACGTCGTCCAATTATTCACGGGTGCAAAATGTGAACTTGCGTTCCGTCAGGGTGATGATTAGAAAAGTAGAAAAAGGATGTCTTCTTGGATGGAAAATTTATTCTCCTGGAAGTTCGTGCACTTATTCATATGCTTCGGTTGCATGCGTACGTATCTGGATACGTTAGCTAGTTCAGCTCTATCCACACAGAGTAGCTTCAGCCGGCCAAAAAGCTGATATTTCCACGTTCTCGGCCCGTGGAAACTTTTCCTAGTCACCGTACAGCTGATCTCCTGCCTCTGTCTCTATCGCAGTTGCAGGCTTGTGCACGCATGAGGGCGTGGTGAAGCTGTTTTCACCGTGCAAAATTACTTTCACCTATCATCCACATTCACAATAACAGTGGGACATGATTACTTGCAGTTAACAAGCCAACAAATTACAGCTCAGTGGCACACAAAGGCATTCTATGCAAACTGGTGGTTCGTTGCCATTATGTGATAGGAATGACAGTGTGTCCAACTCTTCTTATGGGAGGCTGTTGCCAACGCGGTTTTGGTTTCATTCTCACGCCCACGCAATTTTCGGACTCGATTTTTTCGGTAGAAACATGCACGTTAGATTCAATTTTGTAGAATAAATTCTTGTTTGCACCTCCTCCAATTATGTAATGCTGCCATTAGCTGTGACTGGCAAGAGTAATTTTATCGATCTTCCTTGCAGGGGCGTGAGGTCGTACTGTGGGCATATTTAGGAGGTGTGTACCTATTTTTTGGGCAAGGCTGTGTGTCACTATCTATGATCTTAGTTTTTTGATTATATGACGGATTTGCGTGATCACCTGAAAGTTGTATAATCGGGGTTCTACTGTATTTGTTATGCCATAATTTTTATCTCATAGTTGTCAGTGTTTTCTTCCATTGATATCCTTGTTGCTCTATTTTTTTGTGACTTAGTGTTCTTTGTTTAAGGAGTAGCTGAATACTACCTTAAATGAATTGCCTCTAAAACTCATTTATCTAAAAAGAGTGCTTAGGTGGGGACAGCATGAAAATTGTGGTGATGATCAGGCAACTAAACGTCACCGCTTGGGTGCTCTAAACTCGATTCTTTATTGCTCAACCTGTAACATCAACTGCAGTTTGCTACAGGCGTCTGGTGCATGGAAAACTTACAAAAATGAGGTTGATTCATATTTTTTTCTAAGCACTAGAAGAGTTGACGCAGCCTACAATTTTTTTTTTTCATCACTTATATCTGTGAATGAGAAAAAAGTTATTTATAGTTAATGTGGAATGTATCGGCGATGGTGAATTCCAAGCATGTCACCACAGCAGACATTTTATTTGTGCGGCGCTGTTGTTTTTCTCATGCAACAAGGACGAGACCGCGAAATCGATGGAGTATTTTTTTCACTTTGTCCTCATCTTAGTGAGCCTTGAATGGATGTAAAGATGCATGCATATTAACTAGCCGAGTTTACCTTTTTTGTGCAACACTTTTTGTACAGTCATGCCTTTACTGATGGATGCAGATTAGCAAAGTATCAGACACAGAATAATAATTCTAGAACATCTCTCACAAGACTAGCATGTAGTGAAGATAAACCGCTTATTACATAAAGCATCAGATTTATGGCCAGGGCATCTTTGTGTCCACCGTGGTTTCATTACGAGGTAGTTTGACTTTATGCACTGTAACTGATTTAATACATATTACAGGGCAACTAAAAAAAATGTAGCCAGGAAACATGTGACGTGGTTAAAATTGGGGGATGAAGGGCTTCTAAGTATTAAAACAGGCATTTCACCCTGCTCTATCTCAGAATAATTTATTCATCATTTTATAGCTTATAGAGGCCTTGATGAAAGTCTGGAGCTTCTTTTGTGCCTGTGCCCCTTTTACCACACCTGTTTCGAGCTCTTGTATAATTCCTGTGGCAGCCGACGTTGCCAAACTCATTGACATACCTTCTCAGCAGATTCAGCGCTGAGACAGTTGGCAGATTTGCGGGAATGAGGTGCGAGAGGGTGGTCGCAATACTTTGGCATTTGTAGATTATTATTTTTTTCTGACTGTAGGACTATAAATGTTACACAAATCAAATGGTGTGAAATGTACAAGTGAGGAACGTATAAGTGGTGTTTTGCTCTATATGTGATTTAGTCTGTACAGTGTGGTGGATGAGGGGCAGTTACTGTGCCGCATTTGTCGCAGTCACTGCTGAGTTTGTGTGCTTGCACTTGTCTGATGGTACCGTTCCGCCCATTCTTCTTTTTCCCCTCCCCCTCCTGCCTGGACGGACCTCTTGTTAAAAACGAGAAGGTGACACGAGGGAAGTCTCCAAGGAGGCCACCGACATCACCAGCTTGCCTGGCTACGAGCTGCTCTCCGACAAGGAGAGGAAGGTATGCAAGTCTCCTCTACACTTATATTATCTTTCTGGCATCATTACTTTCCCAACTGTAGTCATTTGCAAGAGTAAGAAGAAGAAATAATGCCAGCTTCATAGAGTTTCATACAGTAACGCCTAGAGGGGAATCTGGCGCTAGTGTCTACACGGACTCCTTCGGTGGCGTGTGTACTACTCTCATGGGAATTATGGGAAGTACAGGCTTCAGATCTGCGTTGGATGGGTCGCGTTCTTGACATTCGCGATGCTTCTTTTTCGAGTGTAAAACAAAGTGATACGAAGTTATTTTAAATCATCCCCGCCACGGTGGTCTAGTGGCTAAGGTACTCGGCTACTGACCCGCAGGTCGCGGGATCAAATCCCGGCTGTGGCGGCTGCATTTTCGATGGAGGCGGAAATGTTGTAGGCCCGTGTACTCAGATTTGGGTGCACGGTAAAGAACCCCAGGTGGTCAAAATTTCCGGAGCCCTCCACTACGGCGTCTCTCATAATCAAATGGTGGTTTTGGGACGTTAAACCCCACAAATCAATTATTTTAAATCAAAACCTGCTCCATTCTTTTATACATAAAACTTATTGCAAAGAGATTCTGTGACCATGAGGTAGAAGGGAAATGGACAAATTTAGCACCAGGGTATGCATTGCTCTGCCATTGCACTCCAAATTTGGCATCAATATATAATCAATTATTTTTTACAACACTTTGAAACAAACACTCTTGTTTTTCCCTCGGAAGTATGCATTGTCTGTTTATGAAAAAAAACAATACAGTACCAAGTGAGAAGCACCTAACGTTTTGTCCGCTGAAATGCCAGGTGCGTCTGTCCATGCAGTCTGCCTCCAACGCACCTCTCGTTTTGTTGTGAAGTCGAGCGTGACGATGCGTGTACTTCGCTTTGCGTTCATTTTGATGTTAATTTAAACGAGTTTTGGCAAGAAGCGATTCTGAAAAAACTCGAGGCAGTATCCCGCACTGTGATGGGACGCTACTACATCTATGCACAGCGGTGAGTTAGCGACGCTTCGTTTAAACTGTCAGATACGACTCGTAAAGCTCCAACATCGCAGCAAGTCAAGAGACATAGTGGTCTTCAGCCTCTTTAAACAACGAAGGCGCTGCTTCAGTGCTTTGCACCGCGCCCCACTACCCACGCTGCACGAAGAACGAAACTGAAACTGTAGAAAAAGACAGTTCGCTAGCTAACGCAATCCAATCTGAAGCCTGGACTTCGCATAATTCCTATGGGGGTACACAATCACAGTGCCAGATTCCTCTACAGGTATTATTGTATGAAACTCTATGGCTAGCTCTAATCACAACCGTTGCTGCACCTCCCACAAGGAACTTATGTGAATCCCTTATCCACTTACTCATTTTTGTGATGTCAATCATTTTCCTAGTGTTTCATACAGGTGACTCTCCCATTCAGATTCATGTGTGTGTCGCTACTGTTGGCTCTGGAATTGGAACATCTTTCTAAATTCCGTTAGAGATTCTGACATTGCTGCTCGGCCAAACGTTATGTTTTACGCATTAAAGACGAGCCTCGAACTCTTGTAATGCTTAGTATTTAATGCACGAGCCAAAAGGGAGCACTTCAGGTTCAAGAGGAAACCAGCTAGCGTCACTGTTTTTTGTATTTGAAAGGTGTTTAGCATTTCTTATTCCATTGTAACCATGTGTACATGCCAGCCAATAATTTTAACTTACGAGCAGTGCCTAAGCATCAACTGTCTTCATCTAGCCATAATTTATTCACCTCACTGTCACGACAAGTTCTCAATGCTGGCTTGTTCATTGCGCTCGTCTATCTTCTGTCTCTTGCAGCTGTGCCAGTCCATAGGAATCAGCCCTGCGTGCTATATCACCTTTAAGACCGTAGTGTTGAAGGTGAGTATTTTCTGCATTGGCAGCATTTTTAGGCATAAGAGCCAGGCAGTGAACTGCACGAAATTTTCCAAGGTTGTGTGTGTGTATGTTCAGAAGTTTACTATGCGTGCTTCGAGAAGGCCAGTGATACTTCTTAGTGCTCCAAGCAAGTGCAAGAATAGCCTGAGCAGTCTGCCTAAGCTGGTACTCACACTTGCATGCTTTTTTTTTACTTCCATATGCAAAGTAAATTTAGCGGTTCATATGCTGACAAATGACATAGGTTCGAGAAAGAAGTGCTTTCACATTTTTTACCCTCTCAAGAGGTAGTAGGTGCATGTGGTGATCCAGTTGCTTACTTTATCGGCCTCGACGTTTTTCTGAAGGCCGTGTAACTGTTAGTTGAAGGAGCATATTTTGAAGCACAGAGTATCATCTTCAGTCGAACCACTTTATAATAGACATGCACCGGGGAGGAATTCTAGCCTTTTGCATGAGCTGTCTCTTATAAGCAGGGTACAACTATGGCATTTTTTTATCAATCCCTATTTTTCGATAGGCCCACTGGTGTCTCTTATTCCCATTTGTGCCTGACATCAATGTCTCTTATAGAGGGGTTCGACTGTACTCAGTGATCTTAATCAGCTTTTGATTTTTAGATTATTTCACAGTGAGGTCAGAAGCAATGTGCTTGTTCTGCATCATGACCTTGGTAATATCAAACACCTACAGCAGTGCCCTGACACTAGTGAACCAATTGAAATCTTGTTAACTTCCTCACCTCGTGTCCGTCTTTCGCCTCTCCTGTTCCCCTCTCACAAACACACCTCGTCATTGCATGATACGATGCCTCCGCATTCGGGCATGTTCTCTCCGCAGGACCAAGCTCAGCGGCAGAAGGGAAGCACGGCCAAGTTCCGATCCCTCGCGGGCATGGACAGGTCGCACTGCCGGCTGATCCTGAACCACTTCGCAAGCAGTGGCTGGATCTCGGCCACTTGATTCAGGTGCCTTGCCGTAGCAACCGAGAGCGACCTGCCACAACAGCCCTTGCCACCTTTTCCTCCGCAACGACCGACGACGACACCACTCCGCACCGATAGCTACGGCACAAGTTGTGATCCCAGCGAGAGCTTCCTTCTTCTTACACTTGACCAGTGAAAAAAAAAAAGAAAAGAAGTGCTGCTGCTTTTGTAGCATAGTTAGGGACTTTTTCTGTGTTTTGTTTCTTGTTTCGGAAGTTGCTGGCTTGGTGCTGGATTTACTCGTACGAGAATGGTATTTGTGAAGCACTTCGCAAAACAATACTCCTTCGTCAGCATGTGCGATACAGCTTTTGTAAGTCCGTGAACTGCTGTACCCAAGTGAAACAAGTGTGCCGTCGATGTGGAACACTCCCCTCGTCTCGTGAAACGACATGTGCTGAAGGCAGCAGATCTTGCCCTTCTATACTACAGATTGGGTGTGCCCGAGGTTGGCGATGAGGTTGGCAATGCCTCTCAGTGACACTTTTCAGCTTCTGTAGAAGTGCACCAGCGATACTGCAGCTTCAGTGGAAACGTTTGAAAATGGCACAACACTGCTCTAATGTCCAGAGTCCGCACAACTTAGCAATCCAAGGTTGGCACTACGTGGTAATCTCGAATATAACGTTTCACGTCCATACTGCAGGAAAAGAAAGCACATAGTCGAAGAAAGATGGCCTCCGGGACACAAACCGGCGAAGAGTTGGCGTCCTCCCTTCTTTGATAAAATGTGCCAGGAACTGTGATCCCCGTGGTGCTCTCAGTTGTTCGGAGCATTCTTGCGCGTGCAAGTGCACAGTAGTTGACGAAGGTGTGGCTTGAAGCGTGTGAGAATGTGAAGTCTGCTTGCAAAGGATGTGTTTTTGAGCTATGGTGCGTGAGTTTGAATGTGTAAATTGGTAAAATACTGGTTACCTTTGTCAATTTGATGCTTGATCTGTGGCATTTCAAGTGCACATACAGGCTTTTCTTTAATTATTTAAGAAAAAGTTCTTGTGTGGAAGTGTCAGGCGGGGCGAGCTTCTCGCAGCATGAGCAAGGGATCTTGATGTTGTTACTGCACGAAATTCAATCTGTATTTGCAAGCAACTCATCTTTTGTTCAATTGCAAAGGGACCAACAGCGCACAGATGTACTGGACACCCTATTGATGGGAGCTTTTTCTTTCTTAATATCTTCCTCTTTCATGTATAACACATCTACACTGTTCCCGTGGTCTTTCTTTCTTTTTTTTTAATCACAATAACAATCGTTGCTGTGGTATAGTTGTGAGGCATTTAAGTAAAAATCATATGGTCAACATGAAACAGTTACTCGCAAATCAATATGTTTTCTGCTGCTCAGTTCAGGCTAGCAGTTGTAAATTTCTCACTGGCTCTTTTGGATCATCACACTCCAGTACTTTGGCACAGAGTTCGCAGGAAATTTGGGAGGCATGTAGAGTGGTGCCGACATCATGGGGCAGTTACGCTGCCTTCATCTCTTAGAATCATGAGTATTACGTGGTCGCTCGCTTTGAAGGCAGCTTCTTAAAAAGAACTAGTACAATTGGCCGTGGCAGCATCAAAAACCACCATTAGTGTTTGCCCAAAATGGGCGGTCACTATTCTCAGAGGAGCATGTGCCCCATCTCGGAGGCAATGCCAAGGAGTCTTGTCATCTGAGCCGTGCATCACGTAAAGGGAGTACTGGCACAAATATTGTATGTTGTTTTTCTTTGGCACCGATAAGTAGCTAATGACCCACTTTTCTCTGTCGGATTAATTGTTTGCTTCATTGTATGGCAAGTATTTATTCAAAGACATTTTTTTATAGAGCTTGGTAGCAGTTTCGTGCAACAAGTAAGATGGGTCCAGGTAAGCGTGAATTCAAATATTTCTGTCCCCGGTACAACCCTGCATGCGGAATAGCTCGCAGGACACTGGCTTATGCGGCGTTGCTTGCGACTATCTAAAAACGTGCTCGTGCTTCGCTTACAACTGGAAAAGACAATCTGGTGGGGCAATCGTGTGCAAATTTTGCAAGGTTAAATTCGCCGGCTACCTACAACAATCGAAATGCTGCGGCCACGCAAGACGCGTGAGGTCATGCGCTCTTAAAAGCTTAGTGTTGTTACACTCGAATCTCAATATAACGAACACGGATATAACCAAATATTGGTTAAAGCGAAGTAAATGAAGAATAGTCTTGCAGTAGATACAGCGTTAAACCTTTCTAACGAATTTTTCGATATAACAAACATTTTTTTTTTTGATGATGAAACATTGTCATTGAATGTTGTTCATCTGCCATGCTTACTCATATTCTTAAATCCCCAGTCTCCTACACATATTAAAATTCATTTTAAATATGTTCTGGGCTGTATTTGCCATTGCCGTTTTGTAGACTGTGCATGTGCCTCCTCACAAATCAACCTCGCAAGTTGTTGTCTAGCTTTGAAAAAGCTTGTGTCTGTACCTATTCAATGGGATATGTTATTGGTAAACCCGTTTAACCGGTTGGAATCTGTTTCACAAATTAGAAACGATGAAATATGCGAAAGCGATTCACGCACGCAACTTCGAAGCTTCGAGAAGACCGGTGTAATTTTTTGTGGCGGCACCAACAAGCTGCTTACTCTGATCTTTCAGGAGTGTACCCCTAGTCTCTGAGGTAATGCCGTCCTAGTCTTGAATGTCTTTTAAAGGGGAGCAATAATGTTTCCGTAATTTTATCCCCATAAACTCCTATTTTAGCAAACCATCTCTCTCGATGCCTCTTGAGTTTTCCTCAAATGTGTAATTTGATGCGACACTTTTTCTTCTGCACAGTAAAAATATCTAGGCTTCTTATGCATCTGAAATTTTCCGCAGTACCCTTCAAGGACACTTCTAAGAGAAGTGACCTTGAAGGATAGGCCTCAATCATTGCATACAAGGTTGCTGCATGCCTTTGCAAAGTACTTGCATTCAAATGTCCCTCATGTGTGCACATGTGTGTTTGGTTTCAGTCAGGATTAACTTCCCTTGCGCGTGCTTGGTTGCATGTGTGTGGTTTCGGTCGAGGTTGCTGTAATGTTGCGAAGACGTGCATGAAGAGTGTCGAGTTCAGTGTGTTTTGATACGGAAGTGGGAAGGGCGGTTGCTCACGCTAGCCAGTGGCGCTGTGTCTGTACATAGTTTGTAAATTTGTTCATTGAGATTTTTTAAAAAAGCTATCACATTGCTCATGTACATATTTCACAACATAGATCATCATATATGCGACACCTTTCGTTGAGTTTTTCTTTCTTTGCTTGTCTTTTGTCACGCACAGTTTTGGCATCGTGCTGAAAAAGGTACATTGCCATCACAACTACATTTAAAACGTGGTTTTTGTGCTTCTACTCTCTTGAGAAGTGCGTCTGTGAGGTGGTGAATGTGGCACCAGGTTAGTGCTGCTAAAATTTCTGTGAATTTATCCGGTAATTCTTACATTTTTACTCTAATGCAGTTACTGTTCTTTAGATTCAGGAGGTGTAGCGGAGTGCCATTGGCAGTTTCTTGCAACACTGAATTTATTTGTGCAACCTTTTTTAAACTCTGATGTTTCTTAAAATTTATTTGAATCGTACACAGTGTCATCAGAAAACGCACACGTGTCTGCTTTGCTCTGTGATATGCCATATACAGTGGCATTATTAGGCCGGTCTGTGGTACATGTTTAGTTCTCAAACCGGGAATCTGTTTCGAATTTTAACCCTTTTTTTTTTTCAGTTCTAAATGTTTTTATGGATTTATGTTGTATTACATTCATCTGGGAACAAGAAAGCATTAAAGAAATATATTTTTTAAAAAATCCCACCGAATTTTTGTGATGCACTGGCTTTTTTTTATTCACGAGTGTGCATCAGTACCTGTTTGTCTTTATCCCAACATGTGTAAGTTCTGTGAAATTACACGGAACAGTGAGATAAGATATTTCTATAGTATTAAAATAACCAGGTGGTTATTTGACTTGTCAACCCGCTTTGGGCTTTTGGTGTAACTATGCTTTTATTTGCTCACAGGGGAAATGTGCAAGCGACTGCTCATGCGACTTTCATGTATTGTTGCCATTTTATTGTCATTTTGTACGTTTTTGCTACACCAGGTGGCAACACTTGTACAATTTTCTTTTCTGTCAGATTTGTTGTCGCACAATTTGTAAAGAAAAAAACTCTTTGCTTCTTGAGCAATATTTTGTGAGTGTACGGTGTGAATTCGCTGTCGGAATAGCCAATGCCATCCCGGCGGTAGTGGACAGATGTCGCCTCACAGTTTCAACCATGACTGCTACAGCACTGAAAGGAGCAAGCGGTGAATGCATAGTTTATAGCGAAATTAAGCAGCTTGATGGTGATAATAATAATGGCTGAAGGCTCTTCTATGTTCCTTCATAAAAAAAAAGCATCTGAAAGGCAGGGCATTGACAGCACAGGATACATGCACGAAACAGCTATGCATAATAAGGTTTATATCTGCATTAGACCTAGCTGAAGTAAATGTTACTTCACAAACTAAATCTTGGAACTAGATGCCACACTCTCAACGAAAGAAAAATGAATCAATCCCAAGTCAAAGGCTAGCTTGCACTTTCAGAGCATGCTTATTGCTATCAGCAGCTATAGGTGCCTGCAGGTGTTGCCAAAAGCCATGTCTTGACCGCTAGTAGGTCTCTTGGTACTGGTGCTGCGTAAACACATACAAACTTTCAAGCCCTGGATATGGCTTGCGAAATATTGCTGTCCAAGAGCAGCGATGGGGACTGAGAACACAGTGGAGGATGCAACAGCTACAGTAGTGTGCGCAATGCCAACGTGGCGACATCTGTCCATCGTTCACCTCGTGTCTGATGAACTTGTAAAGTCTGCGTCTCTCATAATCAAGTGGTGGTTTTGGGACGTTAAACCCCACAAATCAATCAGCTTGTAAAGTCTATTTTACTTGCCTCAGTACACCCTTCCCATAGTGTTGTGTAAAGAGAATTATAATATATGCCATTTGCAATAAAACCCAGTTTCAGGCTGTGTTCCTCGGTGAGATTATTTTTGAGAAATTCAGCTATTCGTGAGGCTTAAGTTTTGATAGTTACACTGGTGTGCATGGGTGAGGGGTGTAGGTGCTTTTTGTGCATAGATTGCTGGCTAGGCATTGGCAGCCAAAATTTTTTTGTTGGCAATATATGGTGGCAAGTTTTCGTGCAGTCCTGAATTTCGCAGTTTGAATTCATTTTGTAGTGGGCGTACAAGTGAAGAGCAGTGCTGGCGCAAACATGTCGTAACGTACTCAGCCACGGTGTACGCTTAAATCTCTAGGTCGGCGAAATGAGCCATGTACTCGCTCATGCTCGTTACCGATATTTCCGCAGGCCGTGTGGTACTTGCACACATGTACACTCGCACTTTGCACGGGTTAGTGCAAAGCCCATTCTCAGAGACTCACTCATAGTCGTACTCGCTTGTTCACCAACGGCCACTCGCAATCACACTTGTATCTACGCTCGCTCATTCACATGTCTGAATACCATACGTGGGTAAATGCTTGCGTACATTCCCTCGCATATAACCTAAGGTAGGGCCAGAAATTGTTTATGAGGGCAGGAGGGCATGATGGGAATGCCAAAAAGCGTTTGTGATCACGAGAACCATACTAGAACACTATCGATCTCAGAAGGAAACCAGGTGAAGAGTGTGGCTACAGCTAATATTCAACCACACTTAATTTGAGACCACCTCTGGTCATGCGCACGTGCACTCGCACATTTCGTAACTTATGTACGATCTCATGCCTGTGAAATGTGCGCTGCGAGTATGAGTCTGTGCACTTGCAAGCAGTTACGTCGACCTATGCTTCAAGCTACACCTTTGACTATCCTAAGAAAGTGCCAAAAATGATTATCATCGCTGGCAGCAAGCCATTTCCCGCAGTCAAGTAGAACGAAACCAGTAATTATAATACAAATGGTTTTGCATGTTTGGGTAAACTGGGTGGGTCTTAATATCCTTTATTTACACTGCTCTTTCCATATACGTCTAGGCAAAACCCTTCATGTTGATAGAACATGACATTGTTCACACAATTTTTTTATACAAATAACAAAATAAAGTTTTATCCCTGTCTAAACACACCACATAATTTCATGTGTATGTGTGAAATCGCCATGCAGGCTAGCCAGTGGTTTAGGTGTGGAGGTGCATTTATACCCGTTTTGCAATGTGTGGAATCGAAAACTTTCTATAGTACATAGATGAAAGCTCACACGGATATTTGAGATGTAATAAAAGGCGTTTTTTATTTGCAACTTTTGTCTCGATTCTGACTTTCTTGGATAAGGACAGCAAGTTCAACTGCTGGATTCGCGTACATTAATTGATTGACTTAGAGACTTACTGAAACAGTGTGGAGCTTGCTCGGACTAAGATTTGGCAAAATTTACCTGAGCGGGACTGACTTGGACTCAAACTTACCTAAACATTACTCAGTCAGACTCACGACTGGATCTGAGAGTATGTGAGTCGACTCACAGTTGTTAGCCTAGAGTTCCGCATCTTTTTCGACATTGTCGGTGCTCTATGACACCATTATCGCACATAATCAGTGTGCTTCTTGATGTCGTTTCATATAGTACCATAAGTACGAGTTATGAGTAGTTGCGAACCAGCAAGGACATTTTCTTGAAAGAGATGACACATGAGAATATTTATCAAAAATTTCTGTGGAATAATAGTTGGTGATGGGGGAACATTAATTCACTCCCTTACATAGTTCACGCCTCTGATCAATAAATAGTGGAATAAAGTATGAACGACAGTGCTTTAGAATGCGTGTGAGTATAGACGTAAATCCAGGTTAGGCTGATAGTGATGCTGAAGATGAGACTAAATGACCATAGGTTGGCAAAATAATGGGGAACTCATTCAGACTCTCTAAAGAAATAATTCTTGCCCTTTGTACTCACCCAGATTTAGACGCACCGAAATTTTCATGAGCCGAACCCACTAGAACTTACTCTTGAGAAAATTTTTCAATTTTTTTTCTCAGCCGGGACTCAAACTCGCCAAAATATCACTCACCCGGACTCAATCCAACTCAGGGCTCGATCTGAGTCCGAGTGAGTCGACTGATGAGTGAGTTTTCCCACCTATGGCTGTAACAGCGAATCGTTACGGTGTCTGGAAACTCCTCAGCGGCTCAGCTTGTGGGTGGTAAGCATAGGGAACATTTAACGTTTGTTCATTTGCGCTTGGTTCTAGGACTAGCAAGACATTTTAAGGCATTCGCTGAAGATTATCAAAAATATTCAGGTTCCTTCCTTGCCAGACTAACTCAAAAGGAAGTCCCTTTGACACATAAATCCTGTCCCGACCGTGCTGATGTCTAAAAGAGATCCCCCTCGTACCTTTGATGGAAATGCCTGTGCACGACGTCAGAACGGTGTTCGTGGGCAGGTCGTGTTATCTTTGGGATCACAGAAATCGTGATTAAACACCAACACTTCCACTCAGATATCGCCACATAAGAATTAATATATATTTTTTATTTGGTAGTGTCGTATGGGGCACAAGTAAAGCCCCTGGGACTTTAGGCACGTGTAAGGTCCCTATATATAGATAGAGGGACTTTAGGCACGTGTGCAGTGTACTGCCATCTATTGAATGCTGCTTGATACAAACAACAAAACACAACCTCCAAGGTCACACAGCACACCTTTGTTGCACAGCCTTAAAGGTAGAAGAAACTTGAGGTCCTAATTTTTGCATTTTTTATTTTAATTTGACCATAAGAATGATATTAAGTCTGCCTATTTCAAAGGGTTATTGACCATACAATTATCTTTTGGACAGCATTCTATCTCCTCAAATGATAGAAACATTGTGACTAAATTATTAATGCACGCATTTATTCGAAACAACGAAATTAAGATTTAATTGATAATCCAAAATGGGCTCTGATTGCTGCTGCGATGACCTCAACAAAAACCTCAAGTTCTGAGTAGTGATCTGCTTGTGGGATGAGTTTAGTTTTTTCCCGTGGATGTCCTCCCGAAATCTGTCGTGAATAGAGTGCCAGCATGTTTGGAACATTACAGGATATCCGTGGGATACTTTGTATTTACTGGAATTAATCGGGCTCTAGTGCTACGTGTCCATTGGGCCAGAGAGGTTTTTGCTGCGGTGGTTACACAAGGAAGCACGTGCCTCACGGCCCTTGGACGCAAGGGTTTGAACGAGTGAGGCACTTGTGCTAATGCCATACATATCCACCATCGTCTTTTATTATCACCAACTTTTGTCATCTATTCACGCCACACACACCTTTCACTCAACGGTCATGATTTTATTACTTGTATGTTTTTACCCGCCTTACTGCGAGGAATTTTATGGCCCTTATACAGCCGCTTATCAGAATCATTGTCAATATTTTTAGTAAGATGAACTGGCGCTCTTTGGCCGTGAAATGGCCCTTGCGCCATAAAACATCAAACATCATCATACGTGTCCATTGGTTATCACTGGAAGGTGCTCCAAGGACTTGAGGCAATAGATTCTTGCAAGTTTTGCGCGATGAGTATGCATTGCGTGAACGCAACGCTCCTTTGGTATTTCGCTAGTTAATGCAGCGTCAACTGACGTGATATACAACTAATTCGCGGGAAAAAAAAAAAGGGGGCAAGGTGGAGGCAACTGACAGGACGCAGATCTAACGGTGCTGGCTTCACACAAAAGGATCCGCAATGCTAAAGGTGTCTTAAGACACCTTTTTTCCTGTAGTAGCGTCCTTTTTGCAGCTGGTGTGTGTTCTCAACTCGCTCCCCTAATGGCGCGCTAACATTTCACGTGGGCGGTTCATGTTTTGCGTATCTGTGTGTCTCGATTCTCGAGCTTGCGGTCCGTGCAGGTTGCGGGTTCGAATGGTTCGAAACACAATTCAGCAGTAGAACTGCCCGAGAGCCAAAACGAGAACCGAAACTACAATCGATGTATATGTTTAGCTTAGTACTTTTTAAATGCTATAAACTTTTCAGTTGAATTTTTTTCCTTACAATTTGAAGTAGTATACGACTTGATTACTATATTTCATCAATCCGTGTCGATCCCCGCCATGCATGGTTTTGAGGCACGTGTGTTTTTTGTGTAATGTTTTGAGGCGGGCAGGTGTTCCGTGGGCGGGCTCTTTATTCCAGGCTCGCAGCGTGTGTCCTGTGCTATGGAAACTCTATGTCCTGTGCCTTCGACAACCATGCGTTCTTACATAAGGCTAACGACACTATGCTTCATAATGTTGCGTACAGCAACCTTTTTTTTTTTAGTTGAGTCGTCGTTCGACGTGCCGCGAGGGAACTTCGCTCAAAATTCTCCCCACCGTGAGACTCTCAGTCATCGTACAGCAATGGAACAGATTGCGTGAAGCATCAGGGGTTGTCCTAACGAGTTCGAACTGAACGACCCGTCTCAGCTACTGCACGTTTGCACGGCGGACGACCTTCGGTGCAAGGAATGGCTCACCGCGATACCCAAGCTCTCGCTCAGCGACGCGGCCGTCAGCAGGCTGTGCGTGTGTTCCCTACAGTTCGAACGTTAAGCGGATGTCAGCGGCGACGCTTTGCCGACCATCTTTCCGTCTGTGCTACGTCTGGGCGTCATCAGGTGCGAGCCACAAGAGCAGCAGAGTGATATACAAAGCGACGAACGAAGTGTGCTCAGCACTGCGGCAACGGTCAAGCAGGAACCCTTTGAAGTAAGTACGCTGCGTTTCCACGCGTACGAAAACGCCTTGTTTCACGAAACGTATCTCTTGTGCAGCGCTAATTTTAGCGTGAACTTTGCTGCTAATGTAACGCTATTGTAGTGGTTTAGCTCGGAATATTGCGCTACTGTCGTCCTTGTTTCACCCTTCCCCATGCGTTCACCTATAGTGCAGTCCTGAATCACGCGAAACTCGAGGGAGTGTGTAGCACGGGCAACCCAGCGATTCCCTTGACAAGTGCGCGCTTGCCAAAGCGGTGGCGCCATCTCTAGCGCGACGCGGGTGTCAGCCGGATGTGGTGGTAGTGGTTGGAAGAAACCACCGGATTTCTGCAGCCCAGGATGCGTCTGGAGCTTTTTTTTTCTTTTCGGTGTGGCTAGGGTTATGTTCAGACGTAACTATAGCCAGCGCTATCGTATGTATACATCCAGACGTAACTAAAGCCAGCGCTATTGTTACATCGAGCCGTAACTACAGCAATTAGAGCCAACAGTAGCAGTACGTCTAGACATAACGACTTAACTAAAGCTGCCACTTGCTTTACGTCCGCGGTACTACGGTGACGTTTGCACCTGCTACGGTAATATTTGGCACTGTTGCTCGCTGAATTAAGTGGTCATGCGCTCAGTTTCACTGTCGTATCACCGATTTACCGGTATCACTTGAATGTTGAAACCTGTGTCGTTTATTTTGCCGGACTTTTTCATGTATCAGCAGCTCTGTTGAGACAGACCAGCTGACGAACTTTTGGAAGACGTTGCCGAAATCAGTCTGCCTGCAGCCACCATCTTGGGTGCTGCTTTTCATTAGCTTCCTTGAAGCGGTCAACAAGCGGCGCAATCATGATGGAACCCTGCCCACATCGCGGTTAGTGGTAAACTGCAGCTCTCCAACTGGATGGAAGCACAGTTTGTGTGCCCGTGCTGATGCATTAAACGTTCACTAGTGTTATTCCCATACGCTAACCGTAGTTACAGCTTTCCCGCATCTGGACATGTAAATGTCTCGTTGAATGAAAACCTCTTTTCACCTAGTTATAATGGAGCAGTCCGTGCAGCCTACTCGTAGTGCATTGCCACCTGTAGCCGTGAGATATCGGGCTACATGTGGCAGCACCATCGCGGCTTTCGGAGGGAAGCTGAGCGAAGTCTGCGCGACACGGTCGGCGGGACTTATCCCATGTATTGTACAACGTAGGCACCGCCGCTTCGCTCTGAGTGGTTTGAGCCGATTGTTCCTAAAGAAAGCGCTTTGACTAGAGCCCAGTAGGCGTATATATGCCCTTCATTGCCACATCAACGTACGAAGCTGATCGTACAATGATGATCGTGAAATTACATCTGCATCAGGCACAATTGCAATCAAAAGTGACCGTTAGACACCTGTGTTAGGCAACTGCACAGATATGTAGAACTTGTAAATGAAGAAAAAAAAATTTATCTGTGTAGGATCTTGCATTCTCAACAACTAATAGAGCGCCTTGGACAATGCCCAGAAACTGCTGAAGACTGCTAACTCTTTTGAGTATTTGGAGCCTGTATGCGGTTTAATTGTTTCACTACTTCAGGCCCCTCAGTGTTAAAAGGATAGCGCCATCACATTTTGAGGCTGTAACAAACCTCTTGTGGGTTTCCTCTGTATGACACTCTATACGAATGGTCTCACACAGCAAACGTCTAGAATATATTTAAATTAAGCTGAATCGGGCCCGGTCCGTTCGATAGCGGCAGCTACAAACATGCACATACACGAACCCCGTCATCATGCACCAGATATATCCTCACGTCTATAGTTCTAATGTCTGACAATACTGTACCACCAAAGCCACTGGCCACATTGTCCCGTATTGCGAGAGGGCCACACAAACAATCGTTATATTAAAGGGTGAACTTGTGCCCATAAAAATAGGTGAAATAACTGAGTCCGCTAAAGCGTTCCACACGAACGTCTCTCTCGGACACCTTTCTTACAGCCAGAATATCAGGCCTCTGTCAAGAGCACGAGGAGCATGTCTCGCGGTGCCGCAGAAAGCGTGAGCAGGCGCGCTACATTGTTGACGCTTGCATAGCTGCTCGCTGGTTCTTCTGGTAGAAACCTAATTTAAAGTAGTCTCTGCGACAATATCCTATCCCATGGGAATGTCCAGCATTAGAAGTTCTAGGGTCGCGGCCTCCAATGAAGACCTTTGGGCATGTTGGCGGACTGCGCTGCTCAGTTCGGGCCTGGACACAGGTGATGCGAGATGGGAGATGGCGGTACTCGGAGTGTTCACAAGATGGACGCATGGACGGATCCATAGACAGACGGACGCCTGATGCAGGTATGTGCCACTAGAGCTGGTATGTGGCACCGGTGGCTACGTGCAACAACAACGGAGGAAGGACAGACCCACACCCCAAGGAGCTTCGCCCCTGAAAGTATGAACCGCAGTGGGGCCTAAAGCAGTCGGGCCGGTGTCTAGCTGGCAAGCTTTCTTAGTAGCAAAAGACCTCCCCCCCCCCCCCCGTCTCTCCCCCTCCACCTTTTTCCAGGCGCTTCTTTTATCTCCTTGTCCTTGTTGCGCGCGGACCTCGTCGAGACCGGACAGGCAGTTTCATGGAAGGAGCAGGGTCGGTAGAGGGAGCTGCTGGGCATCTTTTCTCCGGAACGCGTTGTTATGCCAGCGAGTCCTCGTCAAACGTCCGTGCCTCTGAAAAAGGCAATCTGGGTCAAGGCCAGCCCGCAGTCCGCCTGGCGCGATCAACTCGACGGAGTGAACACGCGCGGCGCCTCCCTGGCCCCCGTGCATTGAGTCAGCTGCGCACGTGACAGCGAGCCGGCGTCCTCGTGTCTGGTGGTCTGACGCATGGCGCGGCGACCCCCATTGGCGGAATCTGCCCTGACGACCAGCGGCGCTTCTGATTGGACATTTTGGTTGGACCCGGTGTAAATAAAAGAAGCCCTGCGGCGCGTCGCGAGCGGCAGTCCTGAGAGAGGAGTCCCCATGTCGGAGAGCCGACATGTGTATGAGTCAGCGGTCTTAGGCGAAAGGCTGACCTATGTGTTAGAGAGGAGAGCTCTGCTCTTCGAGTCTCTGTCGGCCCCAGTGCCGAAATTGTAACGCCTCTGTATATATGCTGTACATAAACCTTGTTTAACTCGCCGTCGTCTCGTCCGCTCGTCTTATCAGCTCTGCGCAGAAGCAGTCGCGAGCTGAGAAACATACGCTACCAAACGGCTGGTGACCTTCCCGGCGAAGTTGAAAGCAGTGGCGCCTTCGAGACCGTGTTGGCATCGCCGTCTTTCGCAACAGAGGTGGCTTCGGCGGGATAGGCCCGTCTTTCGCAACAGTGGTTGGCAGCAGCGGGATCGGCCGGCGTCAGCGACATCGATGCGGTGAGTGCCTGATGTTTTCCCCTCAGTTCACCAGACTACTCTAGCTCAGGTTGTAGTAGTTTAGAGAAGGGCTGTGTGAAGCATTAGAGTGAGCTTTGATCGTTTCAAGCAAAGTCGAAGTGCTTTGAAACCAAAGTTAATGCGGAGGGGGTAAACACGGGAGAGTGAAAAAATTGCTTGCGCGTCTTGCTAGTTGACTTATAGTGGGTACGGCAAGTAAATTGTTAACAGGGGCAAACAGCAGGAGGCTAGTGTGAACGATGGAGAACCTTAAAGTGAAGGAACTCATCGAAATTTGTGAGGAACTCGGCATTACTTTGGGCCGTGCGAAACGAAAGCAAGCGATCCTTGAGATCATGAAGGATGAGGGAGTGTCGGCTGAGGAAGTCGATGAGGCCTGGGTGGAGATCAAAGCACGCCGCGAGGAGGCTGAAAGGCGAGAAGTTCGCGAACGTGACGAGGCTGAAAGGCGAGAACGCCGCGAGGAGGCCGAGAGACAGGAGCGCCTCGAGATGAAACGAATAGAATTGGCAATCCTACAGTGTTCGCAGGCGCCTAGCGCAGTTTCTCCGACGATTCAGGTCAGCGGTATTAGAATTCGGGATCAACTGCCACCGTTCGTAGTAGGCGAGGACATGGCGAAGTATCTCGTCAAGTTTGAACACGTCTGTGAGCGAAACGCTTTGGAGCGGTCTCTTTGGGCGCAGAACCTGTTAGCTCTTCTTCCCGGCGAAGTGTCCGACGCGATAACTTGCTTGTCGAGGGAAGCGTTTGAGAGCTATGACGAGGTTAAGGAAGTGCTCTTGAGACGTTATAAGTTGTCACCCGAGGCTTTCAGGCAAAGGTTCCGGTATGCTGAAAAGGGGAATGAGTCACACGTTGACTTCGCGTTTCGTCTTAAGGCCGATTTAATTGAATGGCTCAAGGGCGAAGGTGTTTATGACGACCGCGATAAAGTGGTGGAATGCGTTGCATTGGAGCAATTCTACCGCTGCATCGAGGATAATGTCAGACTTTGGCTGCAGGACAGACTTGGTGAAGTACAGCTAAACAAGGCAGCAGAGTTAGCTGAGGAGTATTATACTCGCCGAAAGTTGCATAGCAGGGCAGTGCGCGTTGAAAAGGATGAAAGGAAAGAGGGCTTTTCAAGGAAACCTGATCAACGGAAACCCGTTCCGCACCGTAATTTCAAAAAGGACCCATCTCTTACGAAGGACAGTGTAGGGGATGGGCAAACAGAAGCGGAGAAATCGAGTGAGGTTTCTACCACACAGGCATTTGAATCGGAAAACAAACGGAAGCCGCTAATCTGCTACAACTGCAAAAAGGAAGGGCACATCGCGAGAAACTGTCAGGAAAAATTTGCCTTCGCAACGATCCGAGAATCAGGAAAAAACATTCGGTTGTTAGAGCCGTATCTCCAAGAAATTAGGGTGAATGAGAAAACGTGCCGAGCACTTAGAGACTCAGCGGCAACCATGGACGTTGTCCATCCTTCATTGGTGTCTCCGGATGACTTCACAGGAGAATGCGCGTGGATCAGGCAGGTCGCCGAGGAGCAGAGTGTTCGCTTACCAATCGCCACGGTTGTCATTGAAGGCCCGTTCGGTAAGCTT